ATCTGTTGAGCTGAATAAAGGGTATTCAACCAAGTATTAAATTAAAATAATGCGAATTTATTGTTTTGTACGAATACTTTTTTCACCCCGAAAAGTGAACATGTTGCATTGTTTTTTGTTGCATTGAGATTTAATTTTTTGAATACTATGCGTCTCTATACATAATTTAAATCACTTTTCCTGTTAAGTTTGTGTACTTACATACATTAAAATACGATTTTTCAAGTGTACGAATATTTATTTCCCCCCACTGTATATGGCCACCACACACATACGACCAGCCACACTTGCCGCTGGAGCTCAACTCAACTTCTGCGTTCCAATTTCACTTGAAAAAAATAATAAACGTTTAAAAATTACTTTTTAAAGACAACACTTCTAAAGAATCCAGTGTCTACATTGTTACACATGTACAATGAATTTCTCATTTTAGTTTCGAATATTATAAAAATAAATTTTTTCTTTTTGTAATAAATAAAAAACTTATTCAAAATTATCTATTCTGTCAATTGATTTATGCATTGCCTCCAACTTCACATAACTGTGCAAATTTTCAGATCAAATGGACAGGTAAAAGTGTGTCAAATATCAGTTATAAGATTTGTAGCTGACAAAATTATTTTTTCAATATTTTTAATATTGAAATTATTTTTTTTTATTTTTCAAATTGTTTATTCTGTCAATTGAATCATGCATTGTCTCCAAATTTACGCAAGTGTGCAAAATTTCAGATCGATAGGATTAGTAGAAGTGTGTTAAATTTCGATTATAAGATTTGTAGCAGACAGACAGACAGACAACAAGAAGTTAAGTTAAAGAGAAGTGCTGAAAAAATAATATACGTTTAAAAATTACTTTTTAAAGACCACACTTCTAAAGAATCCAGTGTCAGTATGGTCACGAAGATTATTTCTCCGTAATCATCGTAACGCATGCCATTTATTTACGACCAGCTTAACAATATTTACATATTATTGACTATGCATGCAAACATGTATTGCCAGTCTTGACATTTTAAAAGTCACACCAGCACCAGACAAGCACTTTGAAAGCTGAGTGGACTGCAAGTGTGTGTGTGGGGGGGGGGGGTGAGAGGGAGGATGTTTACCGCGGACCCACAGAAGATTTATTACCATAGGACAGACCTGACTTTCCTGCAAAGTAGGACAACGGAGGGGCAAATCTCGATTAAATCTACGGAAAATTCACAGACCTGTTGTTAAAAACGAATATAACTACCACCAGAAAAATGATTCAGAAATGCTTGGTCAATGAAGAATAACGAGTTAAACAAACTAGTATCGCGCAAATGTTAGAAAAGTTGCTCGTTTTACGATCCTCATGGTTCAAAATTTTCGTTAGCGATAACACTGGTAATACAAAGTTTACATAATTTATCTTAATGTCCACAGATTGAAAATAATTAGCCAGGATAGCATTCCAAATTTCAGATTTTTATATTATTTACGAGGGGAGTTATCTGTCGAATTCATAGTTAAGAATCTCCATAGACGACTACCGCGACTGAGCGCTTTGATGCAGAGTCTTAAGGTAGTTTAATCAGATAAAACGCACGAGGTCTACAGATTTCTAAGTCCCAGGCTCTAGCGTCGATTAATTAAATATAAATTTTAATGAAACATTCAGATTGCCAACTTTCATGGCCGTGAAGACTCGAAGATGGTATACTGAATGGAAATTAGACTTGCTTACTGCCACGTTGATGCTCTACGTAACACTTGTTCAAGTACTTAATCATCTCACTTTATAATCTTTATAAAGGAATGATGCTAGCCTTATATGTAACCAAAATTAAGAATACATCCGTAGTAGAGTGCTTCTGGAGGCAAAATTTACTTGCGGGATGGTAATTAAGCATAAAACAGTATTTTAAACGTGGCCACGCCAGAAGTATTAGGAAAACAGCGGCAGAGTTCGAGACTGTAATGGTCGTCATAGGTGCACTTTATAAATTTTGGCAAAGTTCACACACATGCACTTTGGCATGTTATAGAAGAACGAAGGTAAGGAAGTTAGAGTTCTACGGTAGTGCACAAAAAGTGACTCAACACTCAAAATTGACATCTCCATTGACGCAAGTGCGTTATAATTTGGAGTTGAAACATTGCAAGTCACAATATTTCTTCGTCGTGAAATTCCGATAATGGATTTTCACTTGAAATTTATTGCAGGAAACGTTCATTCAAATGTGGAGTGCGTGTCCTATGCCACAGCGTTCAAAAGAATTGAAAACCTATCAAACGTTGTGCGCTACAATACAAAACTCATGATAGAATAGAAAAGAATAAAAGTGCCGGCCTTTGGAACCCGATCTTTCCATAGCTGACGATTGATTGAGATAGCTACTGGACTTATTGCAAGGCCCGTAAGATGCTAGGCATTTCAAGACTGAACATATGTTTCTGCTATGAGATTATAATAGATATAAATGTAAAACCAAATCTCAACAATAGCAAGTAAATGTGCTACTCCCAGCATGCACACGAATGCGAGGGTCAGAGCTGTTGGCGAGAGTTAAGCCTCCTGGATTGCAGAGGACAGCCTCGACTCAATCTAATATATAAACGAGCCAGCTTTGTTTCTTAATCGTTATGCCAGAACCCAGGCTGAGAAATTTTCTCAACAAAAGGAAAAAATTAACAAGGGCTCAGTAAGATGAATAATCCTCTTACTTGGATCAAATACTCCTACCGCAGACAAAAAAACTTAGAATTTAAAACAATTGAGTGTCGAAAATGATGGGATAAGCAAGCAGTCTTTGATGTATTTATTCGACTATTTTATTCTGATGCAAGAAATACAATATTTCCTCAAAATGTTGTCTAATCTACGTATTAACAATTATATTGATCGTATAAAATCGTTCGTGTCGTAACGCTTCTTTGAGATATCTTAGTTTCTGAGCAAGCGCGAAGTAGGCAGAAAGATAACGGCAGTGGGCAGAAAGATAACGGCACTGGTTATTGAGACAACAAATGTGGCCTGCAAAACAAGGGAACATTGAGCACACTACATATGCCTATCAGTCGAGGAACGTTGCGGCACTGAAGAAAGACTGCACATCAGGTCGTTCTACTTCATAGGGCAATACAATTGTTTTCCAAAACGATCAGTCCTGCGATGCGATGGATCAAATAAAAGAAATATTATTGTATTCTTAGTGATATCCTCCTCCGAAACCACCGTGGCCGAATCCACCGTGTCCTTTTCCGTAACCTCCTCCACCGTGGCTAAATCCTCCATGTCCCTTTCCAAATCCGCCACCATGGCCAAAGCCTCCATGACCTTTGCCGAATCCTCCTCCGCCAAAGCCGAAACCACCTCCATGACCATATCCACCTCCACCGTGACCGAATCCTCCATGACCCTTCCCGAATCCACCTCCATGTCCGAATCCACCGCCACCGTAGCCGCCTAAACCGTGCCCGAAACCTCCGTGGCCCTTGCCAAAGCCACCCTTGCCATGTCCGAATCCACCTCCACCGTAGCCACCTCCACCATGACCAAACCCTCCGTGGCCCTTGCCGAAGCCATGCCCAAATCCACCTCCGCCGTAGCCACCTCCACCATGACCGAAGCCTCCGTGGCCTTTACCGAAGCCGCCTCCACCATGCCCAAATCCACCTCCGCCGTATCCACCTCCACCGTGCACGAATCCACCGTGGCCTTTACCGAAGCCACCTCCACCGTGCCCGAATCCACCTCCTCCGTAGCCTCCTCCACCGTGCACGAATCCACCGTGGCCTTTACCGAAGCCACCTCCACCGTGCCCGAAGCCACCTCCACCGTGACCAAAGCCACCATCTGCAAGGGCCTCTGGCGTTGGCTCTGCAGTCACCACCACTGCGACCAACACCGCTAGCAGCGTCGCTGCCCAGGCTGACATCTGGCGGTGACATATATAAGACTCATGTCATTAAAATTTTTCTCAAAATTATTTCATAACTGATGAATATATTCATCTGTTAACGATTGTCTAAGTCTAGTAAAAGTAAAGGATGTCATCATGAAAGCATTCGTAAAATTATGTCCTAATTTGCATAGAGATAGTAACTTTGGGATGTAGAGAGCATTGCAAAATAAATTTGAAATAAGTTAATTAATAAATTTCATGAGCATTTCAGATAGTTACTCACTATCACATTATTTATCATTCAATTCGTTACACTGCTATGACCATATCAATAAAAATAGTCAGTTGTGTTAGCAAATGATAATAATAATAATAATAAATATTAGCGGTTTCAGCGTTTATTAGGCCATAGGCCTGTCGCCGAATCTTAACATCGCAGAACATCCACAGCTTGTTGCGGTCTCGAACTCACAACTCACTGCTACAAATTCTGCTTTAATTAACCGCCCGGCCTCCTCGCCTATTCTGACCAGAAACTGGCGCACAGAGCTGGAATCGAACCCGCACCTCTCTGCTCCAATCCTGGTACTCTGAACTTTAACCACTGGGCCACCCTTCCCAGCTATGATATGATGACTACGATATTGTTGGTTATCGATCTCACGACTGCTGAAGTCTCGAAAAGAGCGTCACCCGCAGTCTTGGTCAATGAACGGACTGCGTGTGCTGGCGCCCACTCACACTGTGTTTCCTCATGGCTTTGCAGTCCTCTCCTCTCGAAGCGTAGTTCTATACTGACACCTCGCCTCGGCCGGCGCTTTTATATGACTCTGTAATGCTCTGTGGTCGTTAAAACCTGAGCAACAGAGTAGGGCGAGGTAAACGTACGTAATACTTCAAAAACACCTTGTCATTTTTTACACGCAATGTGCGGCGGTGATTCAAAAATTTTCCGCGGGCCAAGGCTAGTCCGATACATTTCTCGAAGAAGGTTGATACCTTGAGTGTGTTTGCTGCAAGCGTTAATCCAGTAGAAGGTAATTCTTTTTTTTTTATTTAGTTAAAATAATGATTATTGGTGATACATGCTTAAAATACTTGTGAAGTGTGGGCTTTAATTGCAGGTATGGACTCAACCGCATAAACCCAGCGTTTGCCTGAATGGCAACCCATAGATTTCATTCCACATAATTAATGTTTGGATTTTTTTTGGCGTAGGGGTCGGGGATAAAAACATAAACAATTTTAAAATTGATTCTACGAAGCATTTTTTGGAACAGCCGTTGCAAGGTGAATTCTTTAAAATCTTTGTATGATGGCAACAACTCAACAAGAAATTGACTACGAACCAATACACTGACGAGGTAATACGGCGCCTCTATGACTCTCCCTCTGAATAACTCCAATTATCGGGTTAAAAATGCCTCAATTATATTCGTGTCTGCCGTGAATTGCATCACAGAGACTTTCTTCTCTGAGAAGAACGACAACGAAGATAATTTCTGTCGGATTGTGCAAACAAAAATCTGGCGAAATTCAAAATCAAGTTATCAAATAGAGAGATACAACATAAATAATCACGTTTTCCTCTCCCGGTCGGGTTATCAGTGACATAATCTCACAGATACATACAGGTAGGATAATTCTGAATTAAGACGGAGAAAATAACAACATGAAAGCTCTTACTCATTGCTTCAAGGCCAGGTTCTACGAAACCCATGATCTGATCTTCTCACTCTCGGCCGTCCGTGATTTTCGGGAAAACTTTTATTCAGCCCAAAGATTTTTCAGTGCCAACTAATAACACACGGAGAAAAATAATTTGTGCAATTTCATAGTTATGAGATTATCTCTTAGGTTTGAATTTTTGTTACCGAGTTCTTCGATTGCTTAAGATAAAATGTCTTGCTGAAATCAAGGCTATTCTATGATCCTTTTGAATAACGTGAGGCAACCGGCGGCGCGCGCGAAAAAGTTGCAATGCAGGCGATGAATTCTGTAAACAAGACATTTGTGCTGTCCAGGCACTCAGAAGTTCCAGGTTTAACCTATTGTACATCCGGAGTAGATCGATATACTACAAGGCGAACTTATAGAACTGCTGTGACTTGCATGGTCTCGCTCATACACCAGTTGTTCGTAAACAAAGCACACGACAAAAGGATTTTCGACGTGAGGAACGTAAGGAATAGGATACAGGAATACATAAAGGAGACATGCAATAGAATAAATATGTATAGGAGGGAACCGATTGTAGGAGGAATATGGAATATGGAGAGGATTTAGCTCAAGTTAACCTATCCGAAGTGTAACCTACTAAGTATAACGCAGGGTCATTAATTCTATGACTACTCTTAGTTATGCTCTAACGATCTCTTACAATCAATCTCTTACATTAAAATTAATCTCTTACAATCAAAGTTTGTGTTTCAATTATGAGGAAAATGCGAAATTAGGTCAACCGCATGTATAACACATTCTTGCGCACGCAATCTGCGCTAGCTCAATTCCGACACGTATGTAGCTTGCTTCAACGGCGAGTGACATATGTGTATCTGCATAGATGTATCTCATAAGTGTACTGCTGATACATTCCACAAATGAACGTGGAACGCCGACTTTAAAATGCTGAGTGCTGCATATTATGATAATCGAGGGAATTCAGTGGAGGACAAAGCCGAACATGACGCGAGCAGAAAATGTGCATTGCAATAAAACAACGCACATTTTGTAGTTTCATGTAAGTTCACGTGTCAGGGAGTCAACGATGCCCATGAGCAAGCAATGACAGCAACGCGGGTGACGCAATAACGTAAACGACCAGGAGTCGCATTTGCAAAATGATACGTCATTGTCGTTACATTTACGATGATCAGCAGCAATTCAAAATGATCCTGTAGTAAAAGCAGAGTGTTCACCACAACATCATTTCTGTACAAAATACATAAATGAATCCCTGAATCACGCTTAGATAATCAAGCCGTTTGCGTGATTCACTCCATGAATCGCACGGAGGGCGCTGGGAGAAGCTTGTTGTGCAATGCATGGTGTCGGTGCATGTCGACCTACGCGGACGTGTTTTGGTTGTTCGGTCCACCGAGTCCGGTGGGTGTGGCGAGTGAACCAACGTTACTGAACGATATTGCATTAGGGTGTTGACTAAAATATTGCCATAAAAATTTAATTGATTACGTCAATTTCTGTGTACATTTGGTGATAATAATTTCTCTCGGTTAGGCAACCGAAGAAAGATGACTACAATCAAATATAAGATAGACATTATGCAGAACGTGTTTTCCACCTTGTCATGTAGCTCCGAAATCGACATTGGTTTTTAACTTGGGGATATTTATATACCTCCCTCATTGTTTGGGAGAATTTTTCTATTTTATTTTGAACGAAGCCCAAAGTTTCGGGACATAACGTGCAAAAAGGCTCGAAATTTTGGGGGGTTGACAGCTGAAAATAAACAACTACAAAAAAGAGACAGCTAGAGTGGACATTTCTGGGCACATCAAGCAGTCAACCGTTCCTGAATAGCGCATATAAACGTGGTACTTGACGGCGGGAGTTTGAGAATCTCATACAGGTATGAATGGAGAATGTTTGAGTCTGGGCACATATTAAACAAACGTTATAATATCTACCAGGATTTAGGTGATTGGTAACTTGATAATTAGTCTGTTTAAAAGGTAATTGATCAGAAATTAAGGGTGTGTCAGAGATCTGTCTCTGGGTGTCTAACAAAAATTGTGCGGATTTCATCGCTCCACTGCGGATGTGTTTAAACCAAAGATTTGCGTATGAATACTGAAAACATAACATTATAGTGTGAATAAAAAGTCGAACTCCAAGTGCATTAACATCAAACATAATTAGATGTTATACGTTGTCTTGCGTGGATGAACAGAGCTACAAATATTCAATACAAATAGCGGCCATAAAATACAGTTCAATAAAATATAGTTCAATTCAAATCTTTACATAAGGGCAGCATCTGAACTTGACAAGAATTTTCGTTGCATCACGAAATGAAACATCATATGTACACCAGTTGGCATTAAATCTCTCAGAGCAATAGAAAATTCATAACATAGAAGTCAAGTAAACATATCATGTATGTATCATGAAGGCAAGCGAGGAAAATCTTTAATGCACTCGCAATGACGTTTCACTTTCACATCACCTTCGTACGCTGGATAAAAAAAATGTACAGTAACGCAAGCGTTGGCAGGCGTAGACCCTTCATTACCGCCTCATGTATTGCACGGTAGCTGAGACTTGATAAATTCGTGGAGCGTTAAAGCACAAAATTAACGGACCGAATTAAAAGTCCATAAGACGGTCATTAGTATGGTCAGAAATGTTAATTTTCGATTCCAGTGAGCAAACCCAGCCTTGTAGGACATTTTTCGTTGACTTTCTTTACAAATGATAGTAGCATGTTGAATTTAATTTGAAAACCTACAAAAATTGTTGACGGTCTGGGCAGGAAGAGGCTAGTTTCGCATTAGAATCAAACAACCAACAAGTGATTGAAGTGAATGAAAAGTTTAAAATTTTAAAAATATTGCATTTCTGCATTCATGAACGGCCATTCACTGTTGCACACTTGGAGCCAGCCTTGAGAGAAATATGTTCTGATTTTACTATCATATGAACGTTGAGTAAGTGATATTATTTATTTTTCAGTGCACGAGAGGAGTTACGAACAGTAAATTATATATGTTCCTTGCGATCTTTTTACTGAACATTTTCAAGAAGTTCGAAAGCTTGTCTAAGAGAAACTCAAATACCTTACTAATAATTATTATGTATTGGAAAACCAATAGGCAATCAAAAGACTTCAAACTCCACGAGCAGCCACAGAATGAGAGCAAATGTGCACATAGACGCTCAAATGACGATAAAAAGTTAATAGAAATACATTAGGAAAGAGACGCGGAGGAAAGCTAAGCGCCGCTTTTACTGCTTGATCGCATAACGTTCGTGCGTATTTAATGAAACTTCATCAAACATTCATATCATTGTGTCAGTGATGTCGGCTCTGAAGAAAAAGCCTGATGTAGCCTGTCGCTGATTCTTGTACTTTTCTGAGTTGGAAAATTTATTTTACTAACGAATAAAAAGAATTCATGGTGTTCATTTTTGTGACTTGTGAATTCAAACTTCAAAGGCTCAAATTTTTTCAGCTTGGCCGGCCATGGTGGCAATGCGCCGCGAGCAAAAATAAAAGTTCAGTCCACATTTAGTAACAGTAACTTCGTTAAATAATATAATGGTTCACCATCACGAATTCCCGTTCGATAGTTTTGAATTTGTTCAAGTACATCTACGATTCTAAGAGCAACACAACGAAAGGCGTCTTATTGTAGTCTGTTCTCGAGGTACTCTAATACCACTTTCATGCCAGTCCTATTCCAATGGATGAGGTCACAGCGCTCATCATCGTGGTGGCGTTCAAATAGGTCGTAACGATAGTTACGACGCTTCACATCGAAGAACAGCGCCCCCGTATTCATCACATCCAGCGTGCTACTGCCCGGACCAGCCGCTCCTAGAAAATGCATATTTCCTAATGTCTTATTGAATTTTAATTTCATCAAATTCAAAATTAGATTCACTATAACGATGACAGATAAGAGAGATATGCGACTTAAGTCAAATTTATTTTTCTCGAATCAAGGACCATTGAAGCATAAGTTAGTGCAAAAGTATTGGAGAAAAATTATGACATTTAGGATAAGTTAATTTAAGTGAAAATTCTTATATTCAGGTGAGGATTGGATTAATGAGTGATCGAAAAATCTGGTGCTTATTTGCTGCTTTATGTCATTCTACCCAGCCTTCAGATTCAGTGGTATGCACATTGGGAGTTACAGCCCTTGAGTTATGGTAGAATTTGCAGCCACAGATTGCAACCTCATCACTAGCATGCTAGCATGTGGTTGGTCCTTGATTTTTTTAGTTAAAATTCTTATAAAAAAATTAACAACTGATAGTTTTAGGTCAATTAACTCGCATAACAAAATTTTTATTCATAAAATAATTTTTGAGACCGTACCTTGTAGTCCAAGAATATAAAGGTTGAAGTCTTTCCAGACTCTTCGGACGGGATGTTTGTACCCGAACCTGGGTAACGGTGGCAGCGTCAGCAAGATGCAGCGTGTAATGTAGCCCGCACGAGGATGTTCCCGCAGTGCCGTCAACACACAGCCAAACTCCTCTTGCAAGAAGCTCAGACTTGGCAGCTTTTCTGAACACTGTAAATAAAGTAGGAATTGAGCAAATTTCTAAATGAAGATCTCAAAGACTCAAACTGATATCGTGATGCGTGAATATACGTAACTCTCGGAAAGGCTAACTTGCAACGGAGAAACGAATGTGAGGCATTGGATGTTTAAATTTTTTACCTTCAATTCGAACTAATGCAATAATGTACTGACGCGTAAGAACTCATTCGTTCCAATCATTAGAACGATCCTAGGGCCGAGGTCTGGAGTTTCTCGGATCCTGCGTGCCATCTGCTTCATAGTGGAGCCGCTGACGCAGAGCCCCTTTTGTAGTCCAGCGCTACCTGCAGGAGGAAGTCAATTAATGAATTATTTAATTCTTGGTTTCACATCAATTGGAAGAAAACTTTCAACGAAAATAAAATTGAAGAGACGAATCATTCACTTTAATAGCATGCTCCTCATTGTGAATTTAGGTCTAGTTTTATCATCACGATGTACAACAAAATTGAGTTAAAAGTATAACTTTTAATTCGTTATTCCTAATCGAGTAGAAGGAATAATGTAGCTTAAAGTTTTACAAACTTTTGGTCGCATAACTCCACAGGCGCAGCATCATGCCGTCACCCATCAACTCGTAATCGAGTCCATTGATGTTAACGAACGCCCCAGGAACTGCAACAATAAGATATTTTAGTACATTCTCTTATTAGTGAGACGACTACACAATGTCTAGGTATACAACAATATCCGCTTCTCTTTGTGGCAACGTCAACGAGGCAGCTTGCATGCCTAAAACAATACCGTTCAATCAGAAACGCAACGTAAAATTCGTAAATTTTGATAAAGGAGCTTAATATTCCATCGCCTCAAACTAAAATTTAAGCAAAATTAATTATGATTAGACTATTAAGGCAGGCATCAAATAATGATGTAAGGACATGGAACGAGTTCAATCAAATGTGGTTGCGTCAGAAAACCTGATAAAATATTATTCATTTCTAGGTTTCCAGGAAACTGATCTCGATATATAAAATAATCATATAACAAATATTTGAATAGTTTCTGAAAAATATACTTTATAGTGACCGTTTAGTTGAACGTGCAAACAAACCTTCACCTGTCGCTGCAGATGGACCCGGATATTCTTCGCCTACATCTGCATTCTCCTCTTCTACATCGGAGGTCGTGTAAGCCAGAGCTTCGGCCATCATACAGGTAGAACGCGTTGCGCTCTGTAAATCACGAGTTTGTCAGTGCGATATTTCTAAGAGCCTAGCAGGATCATACAATTCAAGATCACTCTAGGGTCTTAATAGAACTAGAAGTCATACTGTAGTTTTAGAAATACATTTTTTCCAAGTATATTCAATCGTTCGAATTTGGATTACAGTACATACATCGGACAATCCAGATTTTCTTTATATCAGTGGTTCCCAAATTTTTTCAGGCTGGTGCCCCCTTGGGCTCCCTAGTGAATTTCTAGCTCCCCCCACAGAAATACGCCTCTTTCTTGAAAATTAGTACGCTGCAATTTTAAAACATAAAGGTTAAACACAAATGTGTATTTCACAAATAGAACCCCATTTAGTGAACCAATATGTTTTTCAGATGTTTTAACTGTTCTAGCACTAGAAACCTAGGACGTCTCGGTCGAATTTACGGCCGGACTCGTAAGCGGTCTCACGACCAATCTCCAAATTCAATTATCAAGTAATATCTCCCAAACTAATGAACGCAGCTCTATGAAACTTGGAACACTTATATCAGTACCTAACGATGATGTTCAGCAAGTAAATCTTTTTTAATTTCACCTTCATTCGTGAGTTACGCGTATATTGCGAAACAGGCAGAAATTCGCAGTGGTCAAAGAATTTCTTCCAAACTATTGAACAGTTTTGAACGAAATTTTGAATATACATTCCTAACTACCAAACGGTGATTTTTAAGCTTATAATTTTTTTTCGATTTTACCTTCGTGTGCGAGTTTTTTTTATTTCCCGTCATTCTCGATTTCACACTTCCTTATACCCGGCCCGTATATTTACCTAACCTCTCAACGGTGATGTTTAGCTCGTGAAAATTTTTCTATTTTGCTTTCGTTCACGAGTTATATAGATATAGGATCGAGGAACGACCGGCTTTTCTACCGTCCGGTTTAACCAAGAGCCTTATATGTATAGCCGTATAACTCGCAAAGGAAGGCAAAACGAAAAAATTTCTTGATTACTGCGAATTTAAGCACGTATTGCTGTTTAAATCACGAATGAAGGTGAAATGAAAAAAAAAAACTCGCAAACGAAGGCACAATCGAAAAAATTTTCACGAGCTAAACATTACCGTTTGGTAGTTTGGACTGTAAATTCAAAATTTCGTTCGAATCTGTTCAGTAGTTTGGAAGAAATTACTTGATCACTGTGAATTTCGGTCCGTATTGCCATATAACTATGGCAAAAACAAACGATTGCTAAATTCGAACAATTTTCACTAGCAAAACATTATCGTTAGGTCCTATAATGAATACGTGAACCAAGTTTCTATATCAATACCTAACGATGATGTTCAGCTCGTAAATTTTTTTTTAATTTCACCTTCATTCGTGAGTTAAGCGTATATTGCGAAACAGGCAGAAATTCGCAGTGATCAAAGAATTTCTTCCAAACTATTGAACAAATTTGAACGAAATTTTGAATATACATTCCTAACTACCAAACAGTGATTTTTAAGCTTATACAAATTTTTTCGATTTTACCTTCGTTTGCGAGTTTTTTTTTATTTCCCGTCATTCTTGATTTCACACTTCCTTATACTCGGCCTGTATATTTACCTAACCTCTCAACGGTGATGTTTAGCTCGTGAAAATTTTTCTATTTTGCTTTCGTTCACGAGTTATATATGTAGATATAGGAGGAACGACCGGCTTTTCTACCGTCCGGTTTAACCAAGAGCCTTATATGTATAGCTGTATAACTCGCAAAGGAAGACAAAACAAAAAATTGTAAACATCACCGTTGCTGAGGTTAGGTATTTAAATACTAAGTTTCGTTCAAATATGATTTGTAGTTTGGAAAAAATTTCTTGATTACTGCGAATTTAAGCACGTATTGCTGTTTAAATCACGAATGAAGATGAAATGAAAAAAAACTCGCAAACGAAGGCACAATCAAAAAAATTTTCACGAGCTAAACATTACCGTTTGGTAGTTTGGACTGTAAATTCAAAATTTCGTTCGAATCTGTTCAGTAGTTTGGGAGAAATTACTTGATCACTGTGAATTTCGGTCCGTATTGCCATATAACGATGGCAAAAACAAACGATTGCTAAATTCGAACAATTTTCACTAGCAAAACATTTTCGTTAGGTCCTATAATGAATACGTGAACTAAGTTTCATCGAGTTCATTAGTTTGAGAGATATTCCTTGATCATTGAATTTGGAAACTGGCCGAGAGACCGGCTGCGAGTCCGGCCGTTAATTTGTCCCAGGCGTAAACCCAGGAGAGGTTAAAAAAACAGATCTGGGTAAAAAAAAAAACTATCACTGGGAGTCATGTGCTGCACGTGTTGTGTACAAATCGTCAAACAAACGATCGAACTTCTGACATTGACTTCGGACTACCGCCCCCCTATCGCCCCCTACCGCCCTCTTCTTCCTTACCGCCCCACAAAATCTTTCCACCGCCCCTAGGGGGGCGATATCGCCCACTTTGGGAACCACTGCTTTATATGAATATCACTACTTACATAAAAGAATTATGTTTTCATTGATGAAAATGACAAAATTGACAACACTAGACGAAGTAAGTGTTACTTGTCGAATGCTAGCGGTGATCGTAAACGTGGGCTACTGGGGTCATCCCGGCGCGGTGCATTCCTATACTTTGGCACGCCCCAATCAATGGGTATTATAAACCACAATGCATGTTATTTGTCAAGTATGGCATTAAAAAAGGTCCAACTTTTTCATTGCCCTGGGTCCTTATTCCGAGACAATCAATTAAAGTTTGAATTTAATCGAAGTTATGCCATATTAATTTTCATAATGATATTTGTTTAAAAATTTCACCTTCCTTGCTTGTACAATAATTTAAAGTGACAACTTAAGCAGCACAGCAAATATATAGCAAATATTCATATAGCCTATAGTGTCTTCTGTACCCTTCTGCTGTACAGGACGACATTTTTCCTTGAATTCTTACAAGCAATGATATGCTTGCGTAACGTCTTTTCCGAGCTGGCAACAGAGGATTTTGAGGAACAGAGAAAATCCGTGTTTTGAAACCAGAAAAAATCTGATATGAGCGATTAAAAACCTTGAATTTAAATGATAATTTTCAGATTGACGTCGCAGCGCCACATAGCGGAAATATTTCTGAGCTCTATAATACAGGTTTAATTGTGACCTTGCAGGTCCATAACGTACGTGGCGCAAGCAGCTACACAGCGTGAATAGACCTACAGCTCATACGTCTATTACATTACATACGACATTACTGTTTACCTCGCTGTATTTACAAGCGCACTTTTCTCGTTCCCGGAAGACACATAAAGACGCTGAATCCCTGCATGATATTTTTGTTGCACAGGCTGTGACATATAACGTGTCAATTTTGCGGATGTATTGTGAACTTTTTTTTTAGTTACATGACGAACGTTGCTTTATTTCATTGAGGGAAGATTCTACATCAGTTACAAAAAAACATCAGTTTATTAAAACTGATATACATCAGCTTATCAGTTTTCCGAAAACTGGAAACTCCCGGATCAATTAATAACTGAACACAGCCGCTGGGACAAGTAACTTTGTAATTAATTGTTCTCACGATTTAGGTAAATAAATTTAGGGTAATTCCCTTCATGCGGTTATTACTGAAATTGTAACAAGTGAAAAAAACTTGTGTATAAATCCGCCTTAATTCATGTAACAATGCCTTATAAATGCAAATATATTTAGATCTAAAATTATTGTTTGGTTAAATATTAAACAGTAGTTCGTTGTTGACGACATCGACTGATCGAGATAAGCTCCGATTAGATAAAGTTATGAGTGAAGTTAATGCCTAAACTTAGCGTTTAGCGCACTGCATGAAAAAAAACGGACATAAAATCTGATGATGTTCGCGGCAGCGTATTACGGTATTAGTATATTACAGAGGGGTCAGCATATGGCTTATGAATCTTTACCACGCTTTATGGAATGAGCTGTGGATCGTCTGCGACTTGGTGATGCTGGCGTGAGGGCTCATTTGTCTCGTTACAATTTGTCCAATTCCAGCATTTGTCCCACATGCAATGTTGAGGACACTATTAATCATTTCATCTTGCATTGTTCGCTCTACACAAACTAGAGGCGGTAGTTTCGCTCCAACTTGGAAAATCTTTTGCTTCCTTGGAACCTTGTGTCAGCTCTTGGTGGAGGAGATATCCCGCAGAAAATACGCACAGCAGCAATTCGTCGGCTGGGACAATACCTGCTAAGCTGCAGCATGGTAAACACCCTATGAAGACGCCCAGTATGGCAGTAACTAATCCTTTTATCTCTTCTTTCACACAACAACCACCGGCTGGTGAGAGTGAGCTAGAAATTAATCTGTGAACGACTGTTGTCAAGAGAAAGAAAGGCTCAGAGAAAAATCAAGTCGTGCTCAGACTGGGAGGTGTGACCTCATCATACCCGAAATCTTAAAATCAATTGTAAAAAAAGAGGGGTCAGCGTTCGTTAGGACGATAGACCTGTCGTCGACTCTTAATTAGCATCGCAGAACATTCGCAGCTTGTTGAGGTCTCGAACATGCAACTCACTGCTTCAATTTTGCTGTGCTCAACCTCCCGGCTTCCTCACCGATTCGACCTGAACTGCATCAGGTAGCTGGTGTCAAGACCACAACCACAACTACTCCAATCGTAGAACTCTCTGTTTCAACAAGAAGCAGTACGCGTCATATTTAATCTAAGCAGCTCTCATCAATAAGCAAATGCTTATCTAACAACAATTAATTTTATATAGATGTTTGGGTTTCATGATGTCCAAAAAATCTGAAAGTATCAGTACTAGTATCAGCAACCGCTATATTTCAGTTTATTTTGAATTACTCTAGCAAGTCTAGTCTTGAAACGTTCCAAGGCATTGAAAACCTATGACCTTCGTACAACCTTGCCGACTCCGCCTATCAAGGGACACTCTAATGGCCACCCATGGGTTCCGTAATCGATCATTTGATATATTAATCCATATTTGATCTCTAATGACCGATAGAACAAATTCTCGTCACGAATTCCCGTTATTACTGAACATTTAATTTATCCTAAGGTTCAGTAGGACTAGTAGGTTATCTCGATGAAATTGGTAACGAGACGTAGGTACTCTAGCCCAAGGTAGTGGACTGTGGATAATACATATTTTCAAGGCAGAGGAACTGTTATAATTACTCAAAAATTCCATTTAAAACTTCGTTGCATCAGTGAGGCAGAAGAAATTATTAAAACCATTTTTGCTTATACAATTAGGTTCGGTAAAAATAATTTGATGTGGTAAAAGTTGTGATCATCTCAGATTTCTCGTCGACAGACTCGACACATATGCTAAACCGTACATCACGGGAATATTGTCGTTCGGCTGAACTAAGTAAGAGTTTCGTTTTTAATTATACTATATAATACTGCAAAATACATTTGTGCGTTTTATTTCATCATTTAAGTAAATTTGTAACGTCATTAACGTAGCAAGAATAAAATTAACTTACCTTCGAATAAGCTGCAACTGACTTCTTAGAAGAACTTCAAAGACGTGACTAGCCGCTAGCGTGAAATGAAGCCTCTCCAGCAGTCGTTGACGGGAAACACTTTCATCGAAATATTTTCATTGCAACCGTTGTAATACTGGCGCTCATATAGATCCAAATTAGCAAATTTTTGTAATTTATTGTAAAACATTTAGCTAAAGTATATTCAGAAGTCAGAGCTGAGGAAAAGTTAGGATATGAAATCTATGTACAAATTTCTTATGAATAAAAAAATATTGCTTTTATTTTTTATTTGAAAACATTTTATTTTCTGTCTTACAGTGTTTATTTTATTCTATCAGCATGATAAAATTATTGCTTAATTTACAAATTAACGAAAAATTTATATTAAATGAATATGCCTGGAATTATACTGAAACCGTTCGATCTTTTATTTGTATTAAATGTTCCTAACCCCCATGACATTACCTATGGAAGTCACACATGAGACCCGTCAGATATTTCCGCTGCCAGCTTTTCGATTGGTAGTGACCCAGGAAATTATCTCCAAACAATTTAAAAATAACCGTTGAGCTTCCAAAAATAATGCAACTTAGGATTAAAATTTTACAAGTTGTCGGCTCTACGGGCAGCTCAGTGGCGAATGATTTTTAGTTTGGAATCTGATAGACCTCAGGTAAATTTTGTAGCATTATCCAATATTAAATGGGCTCAGCCTCTTACAATAACATCTCATACTTTGCTCCGTCATCGAATGTCTCAAAATTACTTCCTTCGTTAAATTTGAATTAATTATTACTTTCATTCATGAAACTTTGTACACGTATTCGTTTGGACGTAACGGTGATGTTTAGCTCGTGAAAAATTTTCGAATTACACCTTCATTCGTGTGTTATAACTTATACGGCGATACGTGCCGATATTCGCAGTGAGCGAGAAATTTCTCCCATACTACTGTACAGACTTGAACGAAACTTTGAATATACAAACCTCACCTCCCAACGGCCGCTACTTGTAGCGCGCTACTGCCCACCTCTGGTTAAACGGCGATACCTGCCGAAATTTGCAGTGAGCAAGAAATTTCTCCCATACCACTGTACAGACTCGAACGAAACTTTGAATATACAAACCTAACCTCCCAACGGTTATGTTTAGCTCGTGACAATTTAATTTATTTTACTTTCGTTCGCGAGTTATACGGATATATGGAGAAACGACCGCATTTCTCAGGCCGATTTTTAAACTTGCATTGATCAAGCCGTATCGGAGCGCCCAGTCGGCTCTAAATTAACAAATTTTGAAATACAAGAAGAGGTTCTCAAGCGCCTTATCGCTGTAAATCCAAACAAGTCATGTGGACCAGACGGCTTCCACCCTAGATTACTCAAAGAGTTAGCAACTGTCCTAGCCGGCCCTCTGACGTGGCGTTTGCAAGGTAATGGAATCTGTTGTGAGGGATCGATTGATAGATCATTTGACTGCTAATAATCTCCTATCAGACTGTCAACATGGCTTTATTGCATTGAGATCCTGCACCACTAATACTCTGAACGAATGGACCCGCCTGCTGGACGAAAGGCAACAGGCCATGGGCCTATTTCTTCAACGCCGACACTTCTATTCTATTCTAAAGGGAGCCAGTAGATGCAGTGTACCTGGATTTTGCCAATTCACTTATCGACGTCTGCGTGGGGACCTCATCGAAGCTATACAAGTAAACTCATGGCTTATACAAGGTCCCAGAAGGATTACTAGAATTTGAAACAAGAACCAACACCAGGGGCCACGGCTATAAACTAAAAAAACAGCGTTGAAACAAGAACCAACACCAGGGGCCACGGCTATAAACTAAAAAAACAGCGTTGGAACACATCCATGAGACAACATTTCTTCTCGCTTCGAGTCACCGACATGCGGAACAGCCTCCCTGACAGCATCGTTGACGCTCCGAGTATGAACATCTTCAAAAAACAGAGTAGATGAAGCTATGCAGGAGCATATGTTCAGTCTTAAAATGCCCAGCAAATTACGGACCAGGCAATAAGTCCAGCAGCTATCTCAATCAATCTTCAGTTATGGAAAGATTGGGTTCCAAAGGCCGGATCCCCTGTGAATCAAGTCACGAAAAGGTCAAGAATCGGCAACAGGCCATGGGCCTATTTCTTCAATGCCGACACTTCTACTCTATTCTATTCTATAACCTGCAAACGAAGGCAAAATCGAAAAAAATTGTCACGAACTAAACATCACCGTTGAAAGGTTAAGTATTCACATACGAAGTTTCGTTCAGATCTGTTCAGTATTTTAGGAAAAATCCTATGCTCACCGCAAATTTAAGAAAGTATTGCTGTGTAAATCACGAATGGTACAAATGGAAAAAACTCGCAAACGAAGGCAAAATCTAAAACTCCTGCACCGGAGATATTCCTTGCTCACTGTCGAAAATAAAGGTGCAACAAATTCAATCGACTTTGCACATTGTTGTCATCGAGTGGGACCCCCCGTTTTGCATGACACGCTATGGTCACCAGAAACAGGTACTTTACCAGTAAAAGAACCCGCAAAAAGTTTAGTGATTAACGCAGTAATTAAATAGAATAAGAAAGTTTACACACAGATAGAGGGGGACAGGGTGGCCAAGTGGTTACAGTACAGAGTACCAAGATTGCAACAGAGAGGCGCGGGCTCGATCGCAGCTCTGTGTGACAGTTTCTGGTCAGAATCGGCGAGGAGGCCGGGCGGTTAAAAGCACAGCAGTGTAAATAGCTGTGCATTTTCGCTCTCATGTGGGTCATATTGACCCAGTTTAGCCCGAAAAAAACTTATCGGTGCTACCCTCGTCAAATGCGCCTCACTATTTGGACAACACGACCCACAAATGTCTCCGTGTTCGAGGACACCTGCGAGCTGTGATCCCAAAAGGCGTTCCAGATGCACGGCAGGCAACCGCTGCGGCCTACGTGCGTGTTGCTTGATTGGCGCTTGATTAGCTTGAGTTGAGTTCTGACCAGAACCTTCATGTTCTGCACGTTAGACGTGCATGTTTTTATGCAATGTCTAGCTGAAAATAATATCATGCGGCCATGGATGTTAAGCACCTTTGCGGTGCAGGCACCGGGGTTCATTTTAACTCGCCTAGCTGTCTAATGTTAGGTTAGAATAAAAAACTGCCAGAAGATAAAATGGAATCAAGTTCAAAGCTAACAATGAATAGTGGTATTAAAAATCAGTTTGCCATTTAAAAAAAATGTGCCTGTTGGTTTTTACCTGAATGAACCCAAGCAATTTTATTAGACTTCAAAGTAGGGTTACCTAACGGGAAGTATATTGGGACTATATACTTCCCATCCAGTCTATAAGAGACTGGGCGAGTTATAACTCGTGTAATCATCTTAATATACTATTTAAAGCATACATGACCAGCTACCACAGGCAGATAAATTTATCCCATGCCCCTCACTCGGAAGTTTTTATACATTTTTGAGCATGTGTTGAAATCATTCAGTGAAATTTCACCATTTTATGCATCAAAATAACCTCTTATCCTCTGAATTGTGCGCTTTGAGAAATTATAGTGACACTGACCAGTGACCACTTATGTCGATGCACTTTTATCCTTTTTGTGGGTCATCCTGACACAGTTTGACCGACTAACGATCATTGCTACAACAGAATCCCGGAGTTGCACTTATTCTGCCTCTGCACAGTTGATCAGACAGCAGACAAGCAGAGTTAATATGAGAGGTGACGCAAGATATGTTATTTCTTCTGATTGCCGCTCGAAGGCTTCCAGTCGACTCAAAAGCAATGATTTGTCTTGAAAGTGCGTCATCGAATTTAATAAATAATCAGCCTTAGGAAAGTCTCTGGAACGGAAAGCGTTATATTCAACGTTTGAAATATTATTTTTACGAAAAGCCTTTCACTCTGTAACCAACCAACTGGATTTCGCTGACATAATTCGATTTAAATAATCTCAATGAGCAAAATAGTTCATAAATGTCATAGGAGGGCAGGGGAAAATAAAACCTGAGTGTATTTTCGCATGTAATCATCACACAACAAAAAAAGTAGTTCACACACAAAAATTAATTAAACGATATAGGAAACAATTGATTTTCCTAATCAGAGTTGAATAATAAAAGGTTGCACGGCTGACTGAATTTCATTGCTTGTTGGTTGAACCAATTTGAAGCTGTAAGAGAAATAAACAAATGTGATTGGCAAAAAAAAAAAAAGAAGCTGGCGCAAGTTGAAAGCCTAGAAGGCTTTAACCAAAATATTGAATATCACAGGAATCACTAGAATATCGGGCTACTTTTTTCAAAAAATTTCACGCTCAAGCAATAAATGCATCGACCACACGTCATTTCAATTCAGTTTCACTGGTAAATTTCCTCTTACAGATGGTCGTCGAACATATAGTTGTTTATTTTTTCAAGACAACTTTGTTGGAATAGAATCCCCGTACAATCCTCGTCCAAATGCAAAAAAAAAAAAAGTCAAAAAAAAAAAAAAAAGAAACTGGCGCCAGTTGAAAGCATAAATGGCTTTAACCAAAATATCGAATATCACAGCAATCACTAGAATATCGGGCTAATTTTTTCAAAAATTTTCACGCTCAAGCAATAAATGCATCGACCACACGCCATTTCAATTCAGTTTCACTGGTAAATTTCCTCTTACAGATGGTCGTCGAACATATAGAGGTCAACCACTGTTCGCTGCCTTCTCGGTTGCTCCGCTCGCACGATCCGTGGTTGCAGGTAGCGTATACTACTTCACCAGGTACCTGATTGAAGTTGGGTTGTCTGCATGTGGCAGCGTACGAGTTCACGTTCCATGTCTTCACGTATTATGAACAAGTGAACGCAACGTCTTCATACCATTGTGTATGCAGCGAACGTTGGTCTTGCTTATACATCATATGGTCGTGAATCTCGAAATGTGAAATCTAAATACAATCGAAATAAAAAATATCGAAACATTATTTCGAGGGAGAAGAGGATTTTCGGACGATATGAATCCAAGATAAAGGATCGGTCGAATATCGGACATTGTAAAAATATGCGAACATACCTTTACTTTCATTCTTTTAAAATAACCTGGTCACACTTGTCCCTGGTGAGAAATAGGTTTCCTCTGAAAAAAATCATATCAATTGGTGCTAAACTGTCTTTAAGCAAGTTTTTGAAAACTTTTCACAAAATAAACCCTAAAACCTTACGAATCGTAAACTCTGAACACAGTATAAAGTCATATTATTTTAGAAGAAAATATCGTAAAAATCGGGGAAAGTGAATTTCCTTAAATACCAGTCGTGACGCAAGTCGACAATCGTTAGCGGTATCACCACGCGTCATCACTTTGACCTTCCGACCGATGCGTGATATAGAAACAATCAGCAGCTTCCACAAGAAGAGAGTGAAAGTGTTGCGGGAAGACGAGGCATGTCCTGATGGAAAGTGTGTCGGAAACGGCCAACAATTGCTTAGTAGTTCAGTCTATAAGAGATGCTTTGTCAGCAGCCGAGTGAATCAAGAGCAAAAAAAGTAGTTACGAGCGTGACTTGCAGCTCTTAAAATCACGTAATGGATTAGTGTAGATAGATAATGAGAATTTCCTTAAAAATCTCTCTCCATAGTGACCCAAAAATTTGCAATTTATAAAACTTTATTTTTCTGCACTAAATTTATCATTACGACCTCAATATAACATAACCTAAACTGATCTAACTTAGCGCACGTTCGGAGTTGTATATACTGTACATGGTTCACAACTCGGAATGTTACTCTTATGAAGCAAATAAATAGAATTCACTTAGCAAGAACATAAATTTGAGGCACTACATGACTAGTCGAAAATGATCTGATCTAAGATTTTAGGTTGAATACTTGAATCTATCTTATTATTTCAAAATAAAGTGTACTCTTTTAATTGATGGGGAAAAATCGTTGTTAATTACCATATCTTTGTCAGTATTAATTTCTCAACGTTATGGTTGCAGTTTTTGGTATGAACATAACTAAATAAAATATGAAATTTTTGTTCACCCTCTACCACCTGACGTGAGTAACGGGAGAAATATTGACACAAGCCTACTTACCAAAAAATATAACTCAGTACTCACAGCAGTGAGTGACAAAGAACGCATTTTCTCGTCGACGAAAACTTGAGGTCACGGACAGACGGACGGACGGACAGACAGACAGACAGACAGACGGACATGGCGAGCACAATAGTGCATTTTTTCCATAAATGAGAAAATGCGCTAAAAAGATACATCCTAGTGAGCGCAAAATGACTTGCACTGATGGTTGCCGCCAAATACAACTTGAAAATGTTCTCTTTTGCGTACAAACGTCCTCAGAATGCTGCACTCAATAGTTTACGTATAATAGTTATGTTCCTGGAGAGTGACATGCGACGGTAGAGGGGTTAAGAATTCGAACAATCTGGACTTCCGTCCAAAACCCGATAAGGTCTGCACCTGCAGCAGGTGAAGTTTTCGTAATAAAATTTCTCGTAGTTTTAATCAGCTTTTAAGTCAGCTCGCTGCTCTGAGAAAAAATATACGCCGATAATCAAGTTTGGCGCTAGGAACATTTGCTTTATAATTTGGGGCATTGAAATAAATATAATATGTCACTTGGAGAAATAGTTTGGGTGGTGACACTCGAAGACTTTATACTAAATCCTTGTTGGCCGCGACTGTGTTCTAATTCCCAATTGGAGAGCACAAGCAAGAGGTATTTATTCGATATTATTAAAATGTAGATTACGCAGCTAAATTCTAAGCATGCATTTCATTATCGATTGCTGGTGATGTTAACCAGTTGGTTCTTGTGCAACATCTTACACAGGCGAGGACCCTTCAAGTTGCTGCGTATGATAGTAGAGATGTTCGAGGTCACGTGAGTTATCTGACGTTGTGTTTGCAGCAGCAATGCAATGCAACGTATGAAGGAGTTATCCATGTATACGAGAAAGGATTATAATATTTGCATCATCATATATCAAGTGGCTCTGAGAAACACTACCCTCGACCTGAGGAAAAATATCAAACTCACCTCAATAACAGGGGATTGGGTATTCATCTAATGGGTACCTAAGGTGAAACTAGTAATTTTCCCCTCCATGTGAGAAAACAAAAAGACTTCAGAAGTTGCTACAAGCTGCACGATGCTCATCGGCGGCTCAGAGAAGCTTTCCATCTCCTGTATACGAGATACGACTCCCTGAATCAATCAACGGTGCTGGAATTTCAATTCTCAAACCGAGCACGAGGGGTATAAATAAAATAAAATTCATTTTTCCTTCAAGAACTAAAATGCCAGCGAGAACCTTAATTATTAATCTCTTTCGGTAGTTCGATGGTAAGATATAAAAACTAAATTAGTACTGTTTGTCAACGCTTGCAGAATCACATATTAATTGATTCAAATCTTCGGAACATCACAAGAATATCAGGAAATTAGTCAAATTTGCTGAAGATTGCACTATTTTAAAGATGTCTTCACCGCCACCGCTAGCCGGTTTTGAATCGCGACTTCGTGGAGACAAACAGAAATGGCTTGTTCAATAGCCTCACTTGGCCCAGCAGCAAGCAAAGAACTACCATTTATTTAGAAACTTGATGGAAAAACGAAACCGTCGAGATCAGATAAAGGTCACAAAACTGAGTCACAAAAGTGAGAGCGTTCCCAAAACTGAGTACAAGAGCGAATTTGTTGGCTATAACCCGAAGCTGATTTCTCTCCAGTGGAAGATGAACTTATGCCAACGTAATATCAACAAATATTAGTATGAAAGACACTAGTTTTAATTGCACGAACAGGAGCTATTCCATGCAAAACCTACTGTTGCTCTGAAGAGTAGGAGTTAATCGATCTCTAGAAGCTCTTCTTAGTTTGACGGCAGCGAACAAGCGAATCCATTGCACGCAGATCAAACGGAAAGAATACGTGGCAACTAACTTAATCCAAGAGAGCGTGGACATCAAGTACGCTAAAGAAAACCAAACGCAGAAGATTTTATCAAAGACCGCCAAAACGATGAACACTAAATGCTGATCGACCAAAGCTCGTCGTCGCGCCGCCGAAAAGGTAGCGTTCATCACTCAAGAAAGCAGTGCTAGAAATGTCAAGCAGCGTTGCAGCTGAAGGCTGGATTGTATCACTTGGAGCGATGGTTTTAGCTGTAAGTACCGAGTTGTTCCTGTTAGTGCACGAACAAACGAGAAATGCGCGAGCTTTGAACAAGAATTAGGCGTGAAACGTTGTGAAGTGGAAAATTTCAAGTACATTCCTAGTAGCATATGAAAGGAAAAAAATAAATGTTTGTATTGAAAACATCTTAATAAATTCCTATTAGCAACTTATTGTACGTGAAGCATCATTTGCCTGAACCTTATTAACATGAAGACCATCAAGTCACTGCATTCTCCGAGCATCACGTAAACACCCTTTTCTATTAATGCTCTATTTGATTATTGATGATTTTGCTAGGAATTGGCCAATTTCCAAGAAGCACGAGCTGGATATTTTACAGTATAAATAATAGGCTTCTAAATAGAGTAGGCATAATTCCTTCTGAAATTGTTCATTGATACAAGTAATAACAGTTAGTGCTTGCAACTAGAGACTATAGCTTCTATTCTGGGAACTTCAATAGTACGACAATTAAGTAAAAACAATAGAATTTAGATGCAAAGGAAATGAAAGACATCGACGCTGGATACTAAAATTTACTCTATCTTGGACATGTTTTACTATAATTTAAAATTGTCATTTTGACAGAAGTGCATGCGATGACAAATTGTTTATTCAAGCTCATTTTGTATTCACGTAATGGTGCGTACTGCGTAGCCTACCAATGCTCAAGGTGCACAAAATGAACGCATAAAATACAGTCGCGCGAAAAGTTCATGGCTTCCAATACACGACTTCCACCAACGACAGCAGGTATTACTCTTACCAATAAAAGAATAATTGTCTCTTAACCATATCTTTTATATCCAGTCATTTCAATCCTGGCTAGTGACAATATCTTAAAATCTAATTAGTGGCAATCTTTAAGGACGGAATGCAGAAGTGATGCGAGTAATACCCGACGGCAGTGTATAGCTGCAGCAAAATTAAAGCAAAATACGAGGTAATAAAGCACAAAAGCCTGCTTATAGAAGCGAGTCGCTGACACCTGTTGTCAACTCAGCCACATTTGAAAGGCATACGAAGCACCTTTCATTCCTGATTCCAATCGCTTGCAAGAACATTGATTATTTTAATTCAAGTACATTATGATTAGTATATTTCAGTGAGTAACAAAAGCGTTACGAAGCCAAGGCGACCATTATATATATGGCACGAAAAACGTTAACGATTTTTCAGCAATACACCAACTGCTTCTTAAAGGTTGCATGTTGGTGTAATACAAATTAATTAATTAACCTAAAGCAAGCACTGCTCCTCATGAAATTGCAGAAAAAATGCAGAAAAAGCTTTGATAGTAAGAACTTGAGAACAATTAATTAAGTACTCGGACAGAGGTAAAGAGTATTATTCTTTGCACAAAACTTAGAAAAAAAGTTTATTCCCGTACAGCCTGGACTCCGTTCCCGTACGTAAATTTGCCAACGATTAAATCAATTCAATAGGACTTTAACAGGCGCTTCAATAGAAGGAGCGCACCGGAACTCAAGGCAACAACTAAGCTATCAATGCTGTTCAATTTGCAGGCAAAAAAAAAAAACGATCGTGCATAAATGCCTATAGATCATGTCAACCTACTATTAGTAATGATGGGATAATTTTCTTTGTAATGTTCAACCACGATTGGTGAACAGTAGAGAGCCGGTGTTCAGGAAAACCTTCGAGTACTCAGCAAAATAAAATTTAATTTAAAGCGACAAAGCGTTCACTGCTGCTTGCACCCAGCACTCTGCTTGCCGGCGTTCTTGCCCAGCCTGAGTTTGGGACTGGCGTCCTCCACCGCAGCGGCGCCCTGCAGCTCTGCCAGGCGGGGAGCAGCTCGCTCAAAACTGCGCCGCTGACCCTGGATGGGCATGTAAGGAGGGGCGGGCGACTCCGGGGTGTCTGTAAAGGCATATGCGGCACATCAATTACACGTATAATTATTAGCGTACTAGAGTATAAAGGACCGTGATTTATAATGCTGGGTATGCAAACAAGAGGTCTGCGATACGATAAGAATGTTACTGAGAGAAGCGCAAGTAAAAATTAATTATTGTACGAACGTGAGTAAAATGCTGCTCGTACCCAGCGCCCCGTTTCCCGGTGCTCATAAGGCGGTCACTGCTGCTTGAGTTTCGTTAATAACTATTTGCAAGCACTTGAATAACTTGTGCCGGCACCGTCAACAACCGATCAATTAGTGGTTTATTTAAATAAATAAACTCCAGCTGTAAGTGAATAGTAAATTGCTCAAAGAATGTGAACCATTCACGGGAAATTCGTTTTCAAACAGCATTTGGCGACAATTTCCACCAGATGGCATTGTAGTAGAAACGCCGGAGAAGTCTTACCGATTTGAGGTGCCAGTTGTTGTGGTTGCTGCTGCACGAACATCCTTTGCTGTAGCTGCCCCTGGTATGGCCGTTGCTGCAGCTCATGATTCCTGAGCACTGCTTGGTTTTGCGCCTGTTGCTGCTTCTGTTGTAACAAGAACAGTTGCTGCCGTCGCTGCTCGTCTTCTTGTTGTAACTCAAACTGTTGTTGCTGCATGAGCACGACTTGTTGCTGGTGATGGTCAGGGTGATGATGGTGAGTGTGGTGGTGATGCAGGAGGTGTGGTGGATGGTGGTGATGGTGGCGGATTGGTGGAGGTACTTGCATGGCTGGCAGATCACCGTCCATGACGCGTCGTTGATACGTCGGGTCGATGGCACACGCGATGTTGAACTGATGACGATGCCGATGAATCAGTTGCTCTCTCTGTGTCACCGCGTTCTGTTCAACCGTCAGGTGCGGGTGATGTGACATGTGTAACTGGTGAGTCATGTGCTGTTGGTGCACATGTTGTTGATGAGCTACATGTTGCTGGTGGATCATGAGTTGCTGCTGCGCCACATGTTGCTGATGTTGCTGCTGGTGTGTCATATGTGGCTGAAGTGCCGGATTTTGCTGGTTGTGTGCCAAAACATGTTGCTGATGCTTGTGTTGCTGGTGTAGCAATTGATGCTGGTGCGTCATCGGTCTGTGCTGTGCAAGAGGATGAGAGTTTGGGGCATTCGTGACGGCGCCCTCCGACGTGTGCGACGATGTGGACGAAGACGATGAGGAGGGACAAGGAAGAGCAGGTGACGAATGCGATGGCTCGGTTGATGACAAACCAGCAGTTCTGGGAAATTAAAGAAATAAATAAGAAAAGAGCTTCAATATTCACATTTAGAAGTGACACGGATTGAGGCAATGTAAACACTCAGAAACGAATATTTTAATCTGAAAACTGAAACTTGTCAAGTGTGGTGCATGAAAATGGGATGGCAAAATGATAAATGCTAAAAAAAACTTTGTTAAAATTAATTGTTGTGGACATCGCGCAGGATCAAGCAGTGCACATCAAAATTTTGATCGTACTGAGGATCACTTTTGAGAGAAATAGCCCCCATTGAAAGGGAGCAATACAAAAGAAAATCTAAATGAAAACAAATAAACAGAAAACTTCACCATAAATTAAAGTTTAAAGCTGAAACTGCACGTTTGTTTTCGGGAGTAGTAGTGCTTCGTCAATTTTATTCAAGAATTACACGCAACTACTGAAATGGCAAGCTCAACATCGTTAAGTGATACAATCAATACCAACAAACTCACTCCTGATATGGCGGTAGTTGGTCATCCAGCAAGGCCCCAACGCTGGTCCTGCGGTCCTGGGGCGACAGTTGCAGTTGCTGCATCACCTCAGCCATGGAGCGCGGCCGGCCGAGGGCGTGCTTGGCGTCGGGCGTGTGGGAGATATCGGGTGAACGAACGCAGTCGCGAGATGAACTGCTGCTGGGGGCGCCAGTTGGGGATATCTTATTGGCACTTGGACGATCGGAGATCATGCCGCGAGGTGATGACTGACGAGATGTAACGTCTCGAGAGGAAGATTCGAGATAAGGACTAATTCTAAATGGAGAAGTTGGGCGATGAACAGAATGGGTACTTGTCATGTTTTCAGTTATTGGTCGATGACTGTTGGTCATACACTCAGAGCCATCAAAATCACCATCAAAAGAAGACATGCCGGACTGAGACACAATAGGAAAATTTTGATTCAGGGCCGCGGGCACACGAGGCGAAGTAGACGAGGAGCCCGAGTATCTACGCGAGTCGAAATTTTCAGGAGAAATGGTGGTGGAGCGTGCACGATTATATTCAAGGAGCGCTTGGGAATCGACAGAAGGTTGAGGAGACTTGGAATATGTAGGAGACGTCAGCCTGGGCTGAGGAGCAGGAGGGTTAGAAGAAGAATCATAATGATTGGCAAGCAGCAGGCTCGGTGTGTCGTAGTGATGACCTAGGTCGTCAAACGAAGAATCCTGCGTCGTGTTGTGCGACGAAGGCGGAGAAGGAATGCGAGGTAAAGGGACAGACCTAGGAGCTACGGTCCTCGGAAGTACGATCGGCTGAGAAGCGTAAGGCTCTACAACGTCATTAAAAATTTGAGCTACAGAAGACTCTTGTAAACTTGCACTTCCTCGTTCACTCGGATTCAATTTACCTGCATTACGTAAATGAGCTGTTGACTTCAAAGTCGCAGCCGAAGAGTTCTGCTCCGAACTAGGAGACCTTGACCGTGTAAAAAGATCGTCAGCAGGTGTATCATAGAGATGATCAGAATCAGCGCGTACTAAAGGTGGAGTATATGAAGACAGAAGGAAATCATTGTCATGTCGAGCGTCGAGAACACGGCTATTATCGTCGGGAAGCTGAGAAGATCCGGCAGGTGAAGAGCTTAGTCGAGGTGACTGGTAACTGTTACGGTGGCGAGGATCATCTTCTCGTCGCCGAGACGATTCATCGGACATGGGGAGGGGAGAATGATAGGACGTAGTCTTAGCGGCTGAATTGTGGGAATGATGTGGATCACTGAGCAGTTCATATGCGTCTTCTTGACTAATAGGCGTGTGGGTTAGAGACTGTCGAGATTCATAGCGAGACGTGCAAGAGACGTCGAGAGACTGAAGGGACTCGTTAGGCTGACGGGATACGTTGTGAGACCGACGAGATTCGTTGTGAGACTGGCGAGATTCGTGGTGAGACTGGTGAGATTCGTAGTCAGACTGACGAGATTCGTTGTGAGACTGGCGAGATTCGTTATGAGACCGACGAAACTCATCGAGGACCCGTCGAGAGTCGTTGTGCGACGGATGAGACTTATCATGTATCTGACGAATGTCGTTTGGGGACTGAGGATGTTCCAGGTCATATTGCCGAGAGTCGAAGAGAGGCATGTGATTTTTGTTCTGATTTAATTTGCTAGAAGGAGAGGTTCCTCCGACGTCACTCTTATGGCAGCTTCTCTCGGACACTCCAGCCCGATGAGGCCGTAAAGCATATCGTGGTGACTCGAGAGCATTTAGGCGGTAGTCCTTATTTGCAGTCTGACTATAAGGCTGTTGCTGACGGTTAGCTGACTCCGGCAGAAGGTTATGAGGCTCATGGTGGCTGTTGACTGACTCATGCAGAAGGTTATGAGGTTCCTGCTGGCGGCTATCTGACTCATTATCTCGGTTCGAAGTCTCCGAAATTCGAGGCTCGTTAAGTAGATTTTCAGGGGACAATGGAGGACGAGATCCAGGAGAGTTGTTACTAGGTGAGGACAAGGGGATTGCAGAGGATCCGGGAATACCAGCGGAGATTCCACGCACACCAGAACTCCCAGAGATACAGGGGAAGGAGTCAGGAATACCAAGCATGGGATCTGGGATGCCCTGACAGGGTGGAAAGCAAGGATTGTGCACCTCAGCCGCCACCACAAAGCTAGCGCTGCCTTCACCGCCTCCTACCTCCGCCTGCAATCAATCACGTTTATGCTGAATAAATTGAAAACATAAGTTTAAATAAAAAAGTGGATTGAAATAGCTTTAGTGGAGGAAGAGACCATATTCAAATCAGGGTTTTCCTGAACCCTATCGCAACAAACATCCTCAAGCACACTGTGTGGCCAACAACGCTGTTAACTTAGCGTTCTCTAATAATGTTACAGGTCGTTATTTAACACAATAATTAAATATCAAAAGATATCTCGGTCAATTTGATTCAAGTAAAACATCACTTTGGACGAGTTTAATTCTCTAGATATAATTCCTAAAATAATAATAACTGCACAAACTCCTGAACCAATTGAACGACAAAAGTGGTGAAGTCACAAAATAAGGCGTAATAAGCTCATCGCAATAAAATACATTCAAGAAGTAAAATCAGTCAAACAAAAGACGAAAAATTTGCGCCATTCTTTGATCGGATTTCAGTTGAGGAAGGAATTGATTTTTAATGATAGACAAAATTGAAATAAATGTCTTTAGTCCATACAACAATATGCTTTTAGTTACAAAAGCTGAAATTTGGGATCTGTGCGCTAGCGGTAGCTACAATGATCAATTATTTCATTAGCTTAACACAATGATATTGCAATCATTGTAAGAAGTTAATTGAACAAGACATGGAACATGGAAGCAAAATGAATTACATAGCAAAAATGAATACCAATAATAAAGCAAATTGAATTACAAATGCTGAATAACAATAGAAAATTATATGAATATAACNGTAAGTCCCGCGCTTACGGCCTGCTGCTCCTGCCGGTGCTGCTGCCGGCTGGGGCGTCTCTCTTCTTGCCGCTGGCGCTTTAGTTGCTTCTTTTGAAGGGCTTTTTGGCGCGCTTTTTCGCGGGCTTTCTTTGCTTTCGCTCTTTCCTGCAAAAAAAAAATTACTGCAAAAATAAAATTTGATCAGTAAATTACCATTCTCAACATTAAACGTAACGTAAATAATCTATCGTATTTAGTTAGTAATTGTCTTCAGTCATGATCTTTGAATATTTGCACGACTTAATTCTGTCACTACAGCCAGCTCCGAAACAACATACCTACGGTCTTGAAAAACATTTACTTTTAGAAGAACATACACTTTGGAAGAACATACCACTTTAGAAGAATTGGTACCACTTTATAAGAAAATAATACCTCAGAATAAAAGAGTCCATCGGAATGACTGCCAGTGAGAGGTCAGCTCTTTCGATGAAATTGCATTTACCCTACACTAAAGATGCCTTCGTTTGCTTTACCCTAGAAATATTTCACCCTGACCAAACAGGCATCGAGTTACACTTGTCGTTAGAACGAGACCTCCTCACAGGACGGAAGCATCATGTTTATAAAAGAAGAGATAACAAATCGACAGGATGACCACACACGACTGTGTGCTGCTCACTGTAGAGAGAGTATGTCCGCGTGACGGTCGAAGTACCATCACGTGGAAGGGGTACATGCGATTGGCTGAGTACCTGTTTCCTCTATACCGAAGTTACCTTCCAATGTTAAGATATAAATGGTTAGGATGGCGTAGCACAAATATTACTCACGATAGTCAACACGTCCTCGGTGCGTAGCACACATATATTACTCACGATAGTCAACACGTCCTCGGAGTAGCTTCCATCTTTTTGTTAAGATATAAATGGTAGGAAAGTGTCGTACTCTTATCCCTCAAGATAGTCAACAAAACAAGACCTCACGTGAATTGTATAACATAGATCGAGGTAGCATTAACCTGCATCTCATGACAGAACAGGCTGCATCGGGATAACTGACCTAATCAAAGCAAGTGCCTATATCAGAAAAAAAACTAACACTTCATAAGAACAAACTACCCAGAACATGGCACTTGAGACGAGCAGACTACCCAACACACACACCAACTCGGCAGGACTCACCTGCTCCTGCAGGACCTTGGCGAGCTCCTGATCCTGGGCCTGTATCGCCATGAGCTGGTCCTGGGGCAGGCAGTCGCCGCGTCTCTTGAGCTCCTGGTCGCCCAGCAGCCGCGCCACCTCCTACAGCGTCACCGTCGCCGTTGCCGGAAAGGCACGAGCACAGCCGCCACCGCGAAGAAGGAGCAGCAGGCGGAGAAGCAGAGGCAGCAGGCGGAGAAGCCGAGGCAGCAGCAGGCGGAGCAGCAGAAGCAGCAGCAGGCGGAGAAGCCGAGGCAGCAGCAGGCGAAGCAGTAGCAGCAGTGGTCGGAGCAGCAGGCGGAGAAGCAGGACGAGCAGAAGGAGGAGGGGCAGGGGAGATTACCGGGGCCGCCTTGCGTGCACATCGGCCCTAATGGTCGTGTCGGCGTGTGTCAACACATGCAAACATTGTGCCCATAATGTTATGATGGATATTAAGTGCAAGGTTGTTGTGTGCGGGATGTTGCGTTGTTGTGCGTAGGAAGTTGCATTGTTAAAAATTTGAATACAAATTCCGAGGAGCGAACATGATAAAGTAACAATATTTTAATTGAATATTTGTGCCGATAATAAAGTGAATACGAATGAAAAGAACGGAGTTCAGAAGAGTGTCAGAGAAAGAGGAGGAGTTTGGTGCGGAGGTGTGGATGGGAGAGCGTGGCAGAGAAGGCAGGCACAAATGCAAATTACCAGTCAGACGATAACGAGCCAAACTAATTCAAATTTACTAATATAATTCAGTCAGTTACCTTGGTATATCAACATTTACATTTTTTTACAAGAATATATGATTTTTGTCAGATGCTCTAAACTATTAACTTTAGTTGCGAAGAGGCAAAGTTGGGTTTGAGAAAAATCTCATCTCATTTTCTAAGTTCACCTATAGCAATAAGTGTAGCAATTCTTCCTAACCTACGGCCCGCGAGCAACATTCGGCTCGCGGATGTGCTTTATGCTCCCTGCTCATATTGTCGGATTATTGTAATATATTTCATTGTTGTATATGACCCGAGCTCTATTACGTTCAATGTGTCACACGCGAGCGTAAAAGTTAAGGCTTACTGGCCTGTAACTCTAGTGACTGTAACTCTAGTGACTGTATTTAAATATGAATTAATTAGACTGCCAAAACTGGAGTGATTTGATGGTTGATGCGTTAGTGAGGAAGTGTTGGTGCCAATGTTCCGGTGATAAATTGATAATTTAAAAAAAAAATACATTGGTTTCTACAACAAGGATAGTGTCAGCGATGACTGTAAAGAGTTAATTTTAAAAATTACATAACCATAACAAATAAATTATTAATTCGGCAGCTAAGTGCAAAATCAAAATAATGTAAGTGTCATTTCGTTAAGTTTCATCAACTCGCACAATAGAAATAAAGAACGGCATTGAAGAAGGAAAATTAATTGGAGGTGCACGTCTCAGCATTAGCCAAATATTCTCACCAAATTTTTAATGGAAATTTGTATATATTCATGTGATGAACTAGGGAGAGAACAGTAAGTGTCGAAGAGAAACAATATCCTTAAATATGATATGTAACAAATGGGTGGATGAACAACTTCATGAACATACAACAGTTATGAACAAAAATGTGCAAGTAAATTCACGTACGTATAATGGTTTTCTTTCAGTACTTAACTACAATACTATGCAAAAAACTGAATATTTTCCAACAAGCATCAGGTTATGAAATTGATGAACAATTTTCGGTCTGATACATTCATTGATTTCTAATTAAGTAACAAATTTTTTATCTAAAAACACTGAGAATGGAAAGCGAAACGAACCGACTTCTCTCTCACATCCTAATATTTATTCACGGCTATGAAGACTAATGAATATATCATGCCTAAGTAGAGGACTAAGACACGCGGTTACCCCCTTAGGTTAACATCAGTTCATGGCTAAGAAGACTTAACGCTGAAGCGCAGGGGCCATACTTTCAAAATTTGCAAGTGAACGTAAGTACTTATGCTCTATTTTCTTGTCTATGATTGGAAGATTTTGCTTGAAAGGCCGTCAATGATTGGCTGATGAACTTACGATCTCTTAACTTTTTTTGAAAGTATGTGCCCAAGAGTACAGCACAAGACTCACAGCATCTTGCCCCTCCTGGTCTATTCACGGCTATGAAGACTGAATATATCATGCCTAAGTAGAGGAGTAAGACACGCGGTTTTCCCCTTAGGTTAACATCAGTTCATGGCTAAGAAGACTTAACGCTGAAGTACATCACAAGACTCACAGCATCTTGCTCCTCCTGGAAGCGTCGCGCCTCCTCTTCATCCATGTCCTGCGACGGCTGCAGGCAGAAGTCTGACAAGTCGTTCAGATCACCCAGCCCTCGAGCAGCTCCCGCGCCTCTACTCCTGTATAGTTCTTTTATTAACAGCAATGTTCCAAAGATAACCAGAATATAGATAAAATTTCATTAAATTAAAACCAACTAAATTTTATCGCCAAGCATGTCTCTAAAGAGAAATAATGATCTTTTCTAGCATGATTATACGACTAGGCATTAAAAAATGTACAATGCATTACTGCTATTTTCTCGATCATGAAGGCAGTAGAGGTGACTATTCTATCAGAATTATAATTGAAAATAATTTACTGAAGCTCTGAAGCAAAAAAAAAAATAAAAAAAAACTGAGGCAAAAGCAACACTACTTTAAAGCCACTTACTATGATAATGGAAAGAATTTCAAAAACCAATGAAAAAAGTTTGCAAAAAATATATGGTGAGACGAGGACCACAATTATAAAAAAAATAAGTTTATTGCACTGGCATGGAGCCATCACAATTTAATTCTTCATAAAAGATTCGAAGAAAGAAAGCACACTTCTACAATAAAAGTCTAACAAACTTTGCAACTTGTTTCAATTCTGAGGGCAGGTCGAGGCAGAGAACATTCACGTATCCATCCAATAACATATCAAAATAACTCCAATAACTATAACCTGCATCATGTCTTAACGATGCAGCTATGTATAAGCAACTCGCATAATAAAGCCACATATTATTGCTTGATCGTGGAGTGTCTACGAAGATCCATCACATTAATGATTTTAGAAATAAAGAGAACGCTGCTAAGCATTTAATTGAGGTACATTTATCTAGAAGCACAAGTAAAAAGTATGGTGAATGCAATAAAGTGCCAAACAACAAAACAATAATTTAATCAACAATCAAGAAACTCTAATGAAAAATAGAAGAATGTTAGACAAGAAAATACGCTTTGGGAAACTCTCTCACACGGAATTAATTTGGATCAAAAATTCTAGTAAAACTAAGGAGAAATTCTGAAAAAAAAATTTCACGTAAAACAAACAAATGAATGCAGGAATGAGAATAATAATTGACAAGCAGCTTACACAAAAACACGATGCAGTTAAGCCAGCAAACGCACAACAAAAATAAGGGAAGACAATGCGAGAAAATTACTCACTGAGGCAAGGAGGTGCAAATCTGGAAGAAGTGAGTGAAATTATTCATTGCATTGCAGTCATTTGAGTACTTTTTGAAACCTTGCTTGAAGACTGCATCAAAAAACAAACGAATGGACACAAATACAACTAATATTTATATTGTAGAATATTATTTGGTTTACAGGTGGCATTATTTAATACATAGACTGCAGATGTACTAACGCAGACATCGGATAGTACGTTAAGATATTAGCATCAGGCCCCGTGACTGGGGCCATACTTTCAAAACTCGCTAAGTGAACGTAAGTACTTATGCTCTATTTTCTTGTTTATGATTGGTGGATTTTGCTTGAAAGGCCGTCAATGATTGGCTGATGAACTTACGATCTCTTAACTTTTTTTGAAAGTATAGGCCCAGGTCAACAATTCACTTGGTCTTGTCCTGGTGCTTCGTTAGTGCTGCTATATAGCGATGCTTAGATCATCTTCTGTAGTACAGCAAGAACTTTTCCTTCATGTTTAGAAGAGAAATCCTGCTTCTTAACTATAATATTGAGCAGCAAACTTAATTGCACTTAATCCATAGTTGGGCGAGATGTTATGAGTTGTATGAGGTGTTATGAGTTGTGTGAGGTGTTATGTTATGAGTTGTGTGAGGTGTTATGTTATGAGTTGTGTGAGGTGTTATGTTATGAGTTGTGTGAGGTGTTATGTTACGAGTTGTGTGAGGTGTTATGTTATGAGTTGTGTGAGGTGTTATGTTATGAGTTGTGTGAGGTGTTATGTTATGAGTTGTGTGAGGTGTCATGTTATGAGTTGTTATACAGAAATAATACTGTCATTTTCCATTGATTGTTACATTTGCTTCAAAAATCAATGCAAATATGTCATGTATTAAAAGGAGTGAAGAAAATAGATTTTGGCAAGATTGAACTTGAATAATTTGAATGGGGTCTTTTTTTTGTAGGAATGGTGAGTGTGGGAGGCCTCTTTACAAAAAAAAAAACTTGAATAATGTATTCCGAGCATAGCACCTGCTTGAGTTCTTTCTTTTCCTTGAGTCGAGCGCGCTCTTCAGCAGCCAGCTTTTTTGCGAGCTCTGCATCCCGCTTCTCTATTTCCAGCTGCCGCAGCCGCTCTTCTTCTTCAAGACGAGCAGCAACATCAGCTGCAAGAGCTGCGTCTGCTGCTTCTCTGTAAAATTAAATTATTATTCAGGCTCGAAATAATTTATTGTTACATTAGATAATGTAAATTAATGATATAAACAAGATGAAATTTCTGCAGCGATTTGCTGGCACCAACACTGCCATATGTTTTCCTTTAAAATTATGCATGGACTTTAAATCCAAGACTGCTAAAACATTAAATTGATTGTACATTCATTAGGAGCAATGTAGTATCGTTCAAGTCCACATGAATGGCTGAATGTGATTGAATAGGTAAATACATTTTCCTGCTTTAAAATACTTTCATAAATTAATTCATAGCATTACACTACATTTTCTTGACTCTTGCACAGATATACCGTATATATATATATATATATATATATACACAAGTATTACAGAATCATACAAAAATTTTCAAATTATATACGTATATATTCTTAATTGAAAGAGAGCAAAATGCAGAGAAAGACTCATCTTATAAAACTGTAAATAACATAATAAGTATCAAATGACTCTAGTTTAGACATTACTGCCGGTCAAGTTCTAGTAGCATCCGCTGGTGTTGCCGAGCTGCCTCCTCATCCACTCTGAACTGCTCCTGCCTTGCGTGAGGCGTGTCATGTCGCAGCTGAGCATTGCGGTTCTTGTTTGAACCAAGATGTTGATCATCTGTGCAAAATAAATGAAATTAAAAGGGTAGAAGTAGTAATTTCTTTATTGTAATTAATATAGTTAATTGATCATCACTGTAGTAATGGGTCAATAGTAGATGTGCACCCGACCCCCCAAGAAAAAGTAGATTATGTTATTCAACCAAGTAAATAGAACCCAAAAGGCGAAATATCTAAGCTGCATTTATCATAAAAAATCATTGTCACAATAAAATGTTTGGTTGCCTTCCCAAGCTGAATTAACCTGCATGGCTAAGCTGCAATGCAGTGCTGGACAAAACTGCTAGGAGAGAATATGTAATATTTTGTTGTTTTAGGAGGGTTGAGTAAGAACATAAAAGGATCATATGGGTAAAAGTGATCCCAACGTAATCAAAACATGAAATAATAAAAGAGAAGTTATCAAAGTAAGCACCTAATTAATGGTTGAATTTGAAATATCTCTTAATAAGCTTTATTTTAGTCCTGCAAGAATAAATAATACACAGTGGCTGAGCAAAAAAGCAACAAATAATTGAAGTTAATACTTTATTCAACTATTCTAATTCTTTTCCTAATTAAAAAATTTATTGGAATAGATTTGTAGTAAAAAGGATTTACTCAACACAAATGAACAGATAATTAGATATACCAGTTTCACAAAAAATAGATAAGGAAATGAATTCAAGTTGTAAACTTACATTCTTCATTCTGAAGTTTATAAGCTAATGCTTGATCTTCATGCATGGTCCATTCTCGGCAAACTGAAAAGAAGAAAAATGTCAGCAAATATTTGTCAAAATTGGGTCTAGCAACATACAAAAACAAATTTAAACTCAACATAATAAGTTGATGTAGGTACTCTCTGAAGAATTGAAACATATTTTTTTCAAGTTAAAACAATCAATCTTACAATAAATAGTTTAGAAATATAGTGTGTATGTTTGATACTAGGTACGTTTTAATTATACTATAGTAAAGAAGACTTTTCTTTGGTATCAAATATGTGACATTTGCAAAAATTTAATTGGGACTATTTAGTCAAGCTGTACTCTGCTGTATTATGCAAAAATTACATAAATTCATGAATTTTTGTAGGTGAGGCAAGTCCATCTTACTTGGTCCATTTCTTTCTAAATTTATCTTTCTAAGGGACAAGGGTATGGAAAACATAAAATTTTTAAAGTGGGTCAATTGGTGGTTAACACTTAACCCTTTACGCCCTGGCGTGACGAATTCGTCACACAGAAAAAATATAGGTCAGAATGTCAGCTTTGAAGTGAGACTTAAAACCGAAAAAGTGAATTTTACGATTTTCATCCCAGAAATTCAGGGCGTAAAGGGTTAACAGCATGTTGGTTGAATATCAGGAAAAAAATTCACGCACATAAATACACAACCTGCAAAAACCTTCAAAAATATTTAAATATAAAGATGGTGTCTGTGAAAGATTAGGAACTTAGTCTAGCATAACAAAATTTTCTAAAAATTACATATGGGTTAAAGCAATTGTTTCACATCATCAAATGCAATTTTTGAAAATGACAGGCAAGAATGTGCTGTTTTAAGTGTTTTTCTTAGTTATCATAAAATTAGGCAACTGCTAGGGGAAATTGTTACAATGCCCACAAGCTAATCTGGAATATTGCCATTAATGGGCTGAATTTTTCTGGAAGTTGTGGGTAAAATTAGAATTTTTAAAAAATGCAGGCAAAATTGTATGTTATTTTTTAATGAATATTCTACTCTACTCTAATTAAGCAAAGGCCAGGAAGGCAATAAAATTGTCTAGTGTCTACAAACAGTAGAAACAGGGGTGTTTTTTTTCATTCTGATTTCTGCCCCAGGATTAGAGTTTTCCTACTGTCCTAGGGTAAACGCGGTATATTCCATCACATTAAGGACGCATCGAGAAATGAAAAACTATAAAAAATAACCGTATGCATTACTCAAGTTCTGTTTGCTTTATGTGACTCTCAAAACACCGCACTATGCGTCAGCAACAACGAAACGTCACAAAATGTTGCCATATTTATTTAAAAGCCTTTAGAATGCAAACCTACCAAATCCCTATATTCCGTCACTGTGTGTGGCCTGTCTCTTATACACATCTAGATGTGTATAAGAGACAGGTCGGAATATACCGTGTTTACCCTACTCCTAGCTAGTAGCTACACAGTTCTGAAATCTTATGAGTTAGGTACAGGTCCATTGTGACAAATTTTCAATTAATTTGGAACCTTGAGGACTGATTGTGCACTCAATTTACAAGTATACTTGGACTCGAAATTTCAGAAATGAACTTGAGGTCAAGGAAAGGCAACATAAAAGGTACTCTCCTAATTCCCACTAGCACTATTGCCACTATGAGCTAAGCCTAAGGGCTAAGGCTATCTATGGGCCTAGCCGCCTATGGCCACTGCATTTTTGGTTTGGGATATCAAATAAATTCAAATTTATAAATGTAGAAATTTATTAGGGGTGCTTTACACTATATACTAGTATATAGTGTAATTCTTAGATGCTAAAGCTCTTACCATCAGTTACTAAGCCACGACGAGGTAAATTTTCCTCCGATTGCTTCTCCTCCATAGCATTCAATTGGTATCCAGCAGGTCCAGCCATGGTTGCAATATGCAATTTTTGTATTTAAATTAAAGTAGACAAAGTTCGAACCTCTTAATTATCATAGAATTATCGTTTTCTCAATGCATTCATCTAGTTCCAAACCTTAAATCAATAAAAATGAAAAGATTTCATATTCCATAACAGAGTAGTAAACCATTAACCATTTACTCACAATCGACTTTCAACGGCAGTCGGCAGCTAGACCTGCAGCTATTCTTCAGTCCGCAGCACTGGACAGTGGACAAGCAATTTCTTTTCTTTGAGCCTTTTACTTTCGTAAAAAAGCAGAAGATCGTAGCGGTGCCTGGGGCTGGGATCATGGTTGAAAACTTGAACTAGGTAGTATATATAGTTCAACTTGTATATAATAAATATTTTAACAACGGCTTGGATTTTGTATGGAATACACGTGATTGCATGGAATGATGGTCAGATGGTGACTAAATAAATTTGAGGTTGTACAGGCAAAAATGACCGTGCCGAATCATGAATGTTTTGATACATAACATGGTTTCTGTTTTTTTAGCATGTTGACATACATAACGGAATGTTTTATTCTTTTAGGATTGCTGTGAAACGTATTAATTGAACTTTGCGTTAACTTACGATTGTGACGTGAACTTTTACTTATTTGACGCTAATAAAAGAGCTTTTATGCAGCATGAGTCACGGTGAGTGTATGACCGAGTCACGACTCACGAGTCACGACGCGTGACCACAGGTCAGCACGCACATTCACCCAATTCCAGAAGAGGAAACTTCAGGAAAGCTAGACAGTAGAGAGTAGACTGGCACTTGTCACTTGTGGGCTGGTCCTCCAAAATCCATATGAACTGCGGTGCAGCGGTGGACTGGTGGAGGCTTAAAAGGCTTTGAGAGTAGATATGGGAATTGGGAATATAATGGGATAAATCACGTTTAGTCTAGAGTTGTAAGCCATTAGCATTACGTTATTACTGTAACAGTAATAATGTTGGTGTAGTATACTAATATAATTAATATAGCGGTGTAGCATTTATTAGGCTGTAGCCTTGTAGGCCTGTTGCCGATTTTTAACATTGCAGAATGCAGATGCAGAACATCCACAGGCCTGGCAGAGTGGCAGTGGTCACTGCTCAGGTCACACGTTGCCACAGCAATCAGCGACATTTCAGCGTGTTGTGCCAGTTGCAGGCTTGAACTTGCAGCTTACTGCTTCAAATTTTCTTTGCTTAACCGCAAGGCCTCCTTGATGATTCTGACCAGAAACTGGCGGTCTGGTGCACTGAGCTGGCTATTCCGCTCTCAGAGTAGTTATGTTAGTCCGGGAGCTTTGTGACGCACGAGTTAATAAGGGGGATAATCAGTCGGCAAACTTGATCCTTGTTTCCTTATATTTCGGCGTCAAAACCTGCACGCACAGGATTCTATAAGAGTGTGAACATACAATCTGCTATTCCCACAAACAGTTTTTTCTCACTCATAAAAAACTCAATCATCCAGTAAATGCACATATTTCACATTTAACACTTATAAACACGGAAATAAATTGCCAGAGCTTCTCTCGTTGCCGATCCCAACTTCAACTGCCCGTGCATGGACAGCGTGGGTGCTGCCGGACTTGAATTTTCTGGAATTAGCAGACAAGTCGATAATTTGCATGCCGCGACACTGGCCCTCAGCTGGGATTGAATCCGTGCATCTCTGATGAGTCTGCTCCATTGAGTCCAGTCTTTGTACACTGAACTTTAACCACTGGTCCACTGGCCACCCTGCTCAGTGTGCCTGCCAGCTGCCACAGCCTTCCTGTGACACAAATAATAATCCAGAACCTAAGACGCTAAGAGAGACCATATCATTATCCATATGTAATATGAACTTTGAAATTTGAATAGGTACCTCAGTGCAATAAATGTATACTATAGCAATAGCCAATAAGAGACCAAATAAGTTTCCTCTTAAATTTCTCTCTTAGCTTTCTTTTCATCTTACCCTTGAGACAAACATTCCCTGGTTTTCCATTCCTGTAGTCTCTGCTTTAATGTCACTTCTACGTTCTACCTCAACCTGGCATGGTTTCCCTCTCTTCTCATACTAACACAACAAACATGTGATGCCTGGCATATATCCAATGTAAAGGCCTGATTCCTGAATGCCCTTTTCAGAGTCAGTGAGTTACCATGTCCCCAATCCAAATCCTAGTCTATCATTCCAGACTTAGAGTCCAGCTGAGATTATGAGAAATCATGAGATGAGAATTGAGAACATGTTTTCAGCTTCAGTGTTTCACCACTCACCAGAGTCAGAACTATGATTTGTACTGTAAAATGGGGTAACTTTGACCACTTTTTTTTTTAATGATGCCATTTTTTTACTAGATAAGTTAAACTTGAATTGAAACATGCAAAATACAGGTTTATACTCTAGCTTTACTCACCATAAATTGATGGCTCCTGCCTCTCATAGTTTTGATGTAATTTCAAAAAAAGTGATGGTCTTTGTTACCCCAGCTCTTGGGGTTTCTTTGACCAGGTGGTAAAATTAATTTTATTTTTTGATAAAATAACTCCAAATAACTCCAGGTTGTGGTGCATTGTAGTAGAACTCTTCTAGTTACATATGCAAAAGACAAATTTTAGGAAAGTGTCATAGTTTGCAAATGGGATACGCTGCCCCCAATGGGCAAAATGTGACCACCTAATGGCAGCCGTGACAGGGTAACATTGACCGGTTTGGAAGTTAAGCTAAAATTACCATATATAAGACTCTGTAGAGTCTAAAATATAAAGAAAAAAACATTAATAGGTGTATCAAACATAAAATATGTTATATAGGTACCTATGGTAATTTTAACTTAATTTCCAAGCCGGTCAATGTTACCCCATCACGGCTGCCATTAGGTGGTCAAAGTTACCCCATTGGGGGGCAGTGCCCCCATTTGCAAACTATGACACTTACCTAAAATTTGTCTTTTGCATATGTAACTAGAAGAGTTCTACTACAATGCATCAAAACCTGGAGTTATTTTACCAAAAAATAAAAAAATTGGAGGGGGTACTCCAACAGGCTTTAAATAATAGCTCTTTTTTGTGAGTCACATTATTAATTTTTTAACCTATTAGATATGCAAACTTTTTAAATCTTTCTATAGTGTTACATAGTCTCAGTATTAGGCCTTTGATGGCCATTGACAAAATTTTTCTATGTCAAATCGTTTTTGAGTTTTGGGGGTTTTTGTTAAAAAAACAAAAAGTGGTCAAAGTTACCTGGCCGGTTAAAGTAACCCCATTTTACGGTATTGTTTGATAACCGCATGATGACTTCAACGCTGTTTTTGATTGTGCTAGGAAGGTTTAATTTAGGTTGGTAAATGGAATAGATTGTTTGATTTGTTATGTAAGAATAGCTTGCATTTAGTTGGCAATTTAGGTGCTGGAAATTTGGACTGCTGTCTGCTGGTGATGTGTTGAGTGACCTATTTGGAATATTGGGCAAAATTTTTTCTAAAATTGCAGATAAAAAAATTATTTTATTGGTGATTTTTAGAAATTAGAGACAAGAAAAATTTTCATTTTATTATATTTACTAAAGAAATTCTGAAAAGCCAACACAAACCAGTGAAAAATGTTAGGTTCATCATTTCATTTGTGTTATTGTCCAATTCATGGGTGGATTCATTGACCTATGGCACGGCATAGGTCAGGGACCCTGAATTCATTGCCGTCTGAGATGCCTACATAACTTGAGGCAGACGACGGTGATGGACGCCATGGTTGAGAATTATGCTTTTCCATAGTTTCCTAGACTAAACGTTATGATTAATACTGACAATGTGCAATAATCATCATGGACTTACATGTGTTACAATTGATATGGCCAATGCACGACAATCGAAACAGAGATACAGGCAATGATATCAAAATTAAAAGATTGTATATGTTCAATAATTGATTTATAATAATGAAAAATTAACACTTTATTGATCATCAAAATATTAATTTTATAATATTTTATTTATGTTTGCTTTTTCTTTTATGCAAAAAAAGTATTTACTTATTTATGGTCATTTATGTACAACTTTCAAATATATGGAGTTGTATAAATTTATAAAATGTATAATATCTTCTTAGAAAATATTGCATTAGGGTTTTTCTACAAAAAGCCGCTTGAGGTATATTATATACATTTCTGTATAAACTTGCAATAAAACCAAGAAATGTACATACCTATGTATAAACATTTCTGACTAACCCTCGGGTCAGGCATGAACTGTATAATTGTTAAAAGCATCTCCCAATGACTATGCCTTTGACTATGTAAACATTTACTCGTTCCTATTTACTTTAGACTTTCCTTGATTTCTTCATTAAAAATTAAGAAAAACAAACTTGTTTCTTCCCTCAGTTTTCTAGAATCACCCATAACACGATTGTTGATATCTATGATTTTTGCAAAATTTGCCCAATATTAAGGATGGAGGCCAGGCCAGTAAGGCCACCTATGATAAAACCAATCTGGAATATTAGGCAGAATTGATTTTGATCACGGGCATATATATGCTGCTTCTTTTAACTTGAACAAAATGAATGAGGCAAGAGACAAAGAAGCAGGTAGAATGATCCACAAACAGGGGGATTTTGCACCATTCACAAATGGCTTCTGCTCAATTTTGGTCTGGAAATGGATTATTCATCTCAATAATGCAACTCATTAGTTGAAATATTGTTTATCAATATTAATGTAGGTGCAGTAAGTGCCATCACTGCCATGTGGATGGAGGGTAATTTTCTATTTAAAAAAAGATAACAATGACAACAAACAAACTGCAATGCCTGGAGAAAAACATGGTGATGCATTTGCTTCTCTTTTTTTTTATTAATTTCTGAATATTGCTTTTTGTGACATTATAATGTATGTTATATTTTTCAGTGATAATTCCACTACTGTAATGACCTTAATTGAGCTATTGCAATAATATGTACAAGCTATTACTGTAATCACCTTAATTGAGCTATAGCATTATTATGTACAAGTTATTACTGTAATGACCTTAATAGAGCTATAACATTATTATGTATAAGTGTGTGTTTCAGATTATTTTTCACAATGGGTCCGCTGAAAGAAAATGACTATGCTGCTGATGAAGTGAATCTGTCATGTTCTCTGGACATGTTTGAGGATCATGCTAGGGTTAAAAAGATGCTAAAAGACATCCCTACAATAGTTCCCAATGGAGGTGAGGTGTAATTTCATGGACTATATTTTTATATATGTATATATTTCAGTTTTTTATAATATTTTTATGATATTTAATATATAATTTAAAAATATATATATAATATAATTTATAATATTTTTCCCACAATGTCTGTCTAACAAGCAGTAATTTATTACAATGATGTTGTGTATTGGCATGTGAAAATAATATTGATTTAAATTTTCTGCAATATCTTTTGAACATAATTATTTTCTGGAATCATTTTTTATTAAATTGTGTATCATTAGTAAATATTCTACTGATATTTCAATAGAATCTGATTTAATTTTAAAATGATGCCTATTAAATTTTGTGCATAGTTTAATATTAAGGGCAAATTTTTGCTGCTAGCTACTACCAAAGTGGAAGTAAAGGCAATATGTTGAACCCTACAAATTTATGAACATCAATTTCTTCTGTCAAAAAAGACTAGGAATTCCAGAAAAGAATTTGAAAAATGGCAATTGAACAAAGTAAAAATGGAAAGTCATAAATTTTGCCTACAATTGTTACTGATGTTTACAAAAGACCATACTGGTCATTTGGAATAATATATAAGCTTTCTCATTTACCAAAAAATTCATGCTAGTATTTGATAATATTTTATTTGATTTGCAGGAACCAAGTGTCAGCCTTTTGGGCCATTATTTATTGAAGAAAAACCATTTGAAGATCTCAAAACCATTTTGGACAAGTATCAGGTGACTGTGACGCTAGTGTGATTACATTTAAAAAAATAATATTCAGTCACATTGGCACATACAATCATTATACAAATCTGTTCTTAAGTAAATTATCACTAGCAAAGTTTTTGAAAAACATTTCTATTGATTTCTTTCTGTAAAATGAACAGCCTTTTAGTGTTAATGCACACCAACACCACACATTCAGTAATTTGATACATGAAACTGGTTTATTTGTCAAACTCCTCCCTAATAGATCACATTAAAGTAATGAATCAAGAATGAATTTTTATTTTGCTGTCTGCATTCTCAGCATCAGGGTCCTACTTGTAGCCACTAAACTTCATTGATCAGGTCATAGCAGCAAAAGTACACATGTTTTGCTTGCATTGCACAATTTCAGAAGAATTTCTTAATATTTATCCTTATATATGAAAATAAATTAAATTATTATGTATGTCTGTGAGGTTTGTGGTTATCTGGAAATGAAGAGTTGAATTTCCCAATGCCATTTATTGAAGGTTGTTTGGGAAGCTTGTATGATTTTCCCTAACTAAACTCTATTTGGGTCATGTGAACAAACGTTTTTGTTGCAATTACAATCCCTACTTGTATATATTTTATATTATGAGTATATATTTTAAGAACAATGAGTGGGAATGAAAGCATTTGTTGTGTAATGTATGATTCTGTAAAAATTTGTAAGCTAAGTAATTTTATAAACTGTCATAGAACTTATTTATGATTTGCTGTTGCGGCTTGCTTTCCTCTTAATCTTCAAAATTGTCTACCTAATAAAATGTAATCACGATTCATTTCACAAATTCAGTGTAGATTCTTTTGGTGCTTTGGTAATTTAATATTGTTCATTATCTTCTTGGTACTTTGATTTCTTGAATGAATGCTACATTTATTATTTTAGGACATTTGACTTTTAAGATAGAAAAATGTGCATGCTTCAATTTTGATTTAAAATTACTGCAAAGATATGTTAAAAATACATGGTATTTAATTTAAAAACTTGTGTATAATGCACTCTTTGAAAGTTTTTGAGCATTTAATGTTCTTAATAAGTCATCATTTTATGCATCAATTGTGACAATTATATATGTTGTTTCCTGCTTGAGGTTGATAGTTTTAAAATTATTGCCACTCCAAAATTTTAAATTATAATACGAAGTACCAAGTTGTTGAATGTTAACCCAAAAATTTGATGATTGAACTGCTGACAACAATCAACGTTCCAGGCGCAACCACACTTGATGGACTCGCACCTAGAAGAGATGCTCACCATACTCTTCCAGTACATCATTGAAGCACAAAATTCATCACAAGAGAAGCCAATGGAGACAAATGAGACTACATCACATGATATTTCATGCGAGGGCTCCACAACATCACATACTCAGGCCGCAAAAGATGATAAGAAAGACTTCCAGGACTCGGCACATGCTAAGGAGACCACTGTTGCTGACCAGGCCTTCAAGTACATTTATCTCTTGTCTAAAGTGCGAGGGTACAAGTCTATTGTGAAGAAATTTCCTCATGAGGTCAGTCTTCATCTTGAGTACCTATAGAAAATAATAATATTTGTATGTGTATTAGACGTAGTAAGTCCAATCAATGTTTGGCAATGTGTGAATCTTTGTTTGAAATTTAAAGCTTATTTGCTTTTAGATTTTGTATGCATTATGTAAAATTTCATCAAAACCCAACAGTATCTTCTCCTTTAATATGTTTGAAGTTATGAAATCTTGCTTAAAATTTGACTGCCTGTTGTGTGATTATGCTGGATCAAGTTGCATATTGAGACCATTTCTTACTTGCCATGCTTGTCTGTATAAATTTTCATTGGTTCAAGTAAGGTGTTTTGGTGTCCATGTAGCAATATAAAGTGAAGTGCTCTCGTATCTACGTAGCAATATCATGTGTGCAGGTATCACACCTGATGCCGATCATATGTATGCTGGAAACCTACCAGACGCAGGACTGCGAGTTCTACAACATCTACGTGCTGCTGCTGTGGCTCTCTTATCTACGTAGCAATATCATGCATACAGGTGTTGGTGCTCTCGTATCTACGTAGCAATATCATGTGTGCAGGTATCACACCTGATGCCGATCATATGTATGCTGGAAACCTACCAGACGCAGGACTGCGAGTTCTACAACATCTACGTGCTGCTGCTGTGGCTCTCCATCGTAATCTACATGCCCTTCAGTCTTGATGACTTCAGCGCAGCATCAACGCCTTGCAGCGCCGGCACTGTCCTGAGTCCTGTCAAGAGGTAGGTGCCCTTAGTGCCCTATTTATTGCCGAAACATTTTGCCAAGCACATTAAGAAGCAGCATTATTATTACTAGTGAGGTAGAAAAGTTTAAACCAGCTCTGACGTGCTCTCATCGCCTACCTCAAATTAATGGAAGAAATACGTTATATGAATATTTAACATGTTTCTTCCTTTAATTTGAGGTAGGCGATGAGAGCATGTCAGATCTTGTGCAAACTTTTCTACCTCAATAGTAATAATAATAATGCAGCTTCTTCCTGTGCTTGCCATGAAGATTTGGCATTTGAAATTAAATTTCTTTTAATTCCTTCATGGTTTTTTTTTCTGGATAGTGGCCAGACGTATTGTAGATTGCTGTATAATGCATAATACTTCTGAACTCTCCTGCAGTTCATCGACGTGTATTACAATTACCCTCATTTAACACGAAACAGCGACATAATAACAGAGTTGGTAATACTTTCCTTCAGAATCTTGAAGATTATCGACACAGAGCTTGGGTCTTCACAGTCGTCACGCGACATGGCAGCGTTTCTGGTGTCGCGGCTGGTGACGCGGCCTGACCTCAAGCACAACTACCTCGCAGAGTTTGTGCAGCACTCCACGAAGGTCTGGTCAAACCCGAAGAGCCTTTAATTACTTACATAAACTAATGCCTTTGGAAGCTTTGTCAGACAAGCTTTGTGCAGCACTCCTCGAAGGTCTGGTTAAACCTGATGAACCTTCCACTACTCGCATAAACTAATGCCTTTACTTTGGAAGCTTATGTTGGACGAGCTTTGTGCAGCACTCCACGATGGTCTGGTCAAAGCTTACGAGCCTCCCACTACTTACATTAACTAATGCATTTACTTTGAAAGCTTTTGTCGGACAAGCTTACTGCAGCACTCCACGCAGGGCCGGTCAACCTGATGAGCCTATAATTACTTGCACCAATGCTTATTATCCTGAAGCATGTGTCTGACACGCTTTCATGAACAGGCTGAACTGACATATGTAGAATTAATGCAGCCACTGCGTAGTTATAAAGGGAGAGACTTCCATGAGTTATGTGATTTTAGGCGTCGAATTATCGTAGTTATCACAGAAAAAGAAAACTTCTCAAATGGTTTAACTAAGTATAAAATTCATGCAGCCACTGCACAGTTGAAGAGTGAATTAAATGCTCAAGTAAGGCGATCTTTGGTGTTGATTTATTCAAGTTTCAATCAGAAGACTCATTTAGGAACTGGCTAAACTGACGTATCGTATGTAGAATTAGTGCAGCCACTGCGCAATTTGACTGTGAATGACCTTGTTTTAGATGATATTTTGATAATTGGTGTTAAATCATGTAAATTTTTAGCAAAGAAGATGGAACCACAAAGCAATAACAAATTGATGATAGGACTTAGATAAACCATTCGACTGTGTTGAATAGAAAATAACGCAAATAGAAGTTTTATTGGAGTTTGTTTTGGGCTTCGGTATAACGACGCTTGATATGATGAGATCCAGACATGATCCATGCACCAAGGAATGATATTTACAGACATGATATTCACTAAAGAATAATGTTCGTGATTTTATTGTCCCCCTATTATAGGACTGTAGTTCGGACGTGTGTGTGAATTATGACGATGTGTGACCCAGATGTGATGTGCAGGTCATCAGCGAGAGCAGCATGGAGAGTCGCAGCAGCTTCAAGGTGCTAGGGCACCTGCGCGCTCTGGGCCTCATATGGAAGCATGGGCGCCGAGACGAGCTCCTGCCACTGTCAGGTCCTTTGCTGCAGAGCCTCCTTGCTGGGGGCACCACGCGCCGCACTGACAGCCTGGTGCGCAAACTGGCCCTCAAACTGGTCCAGCGAATAGGTGAGTAGTGCTCAGACTGGTCCAGTGCATAGGTGAGTAGTGCTAAGACTGGTCCAGTGAATAGGTGAGTAGTGCTCAGACTGGTCCAGCGTATGGGTGAGTTGTGCTCAGACTGGTCCAGCGTATGGGTGAGTTGTGCGCAGACTGGTCCAGCATATGGGTGAGTTGTGCTCAGACTGGTCCAGCTTATGGGTGAGTTGTGCTCAGACTGGTCCAGTGTATGGGGCGTATGGGTGAGTTGTGCTCAGACTGGTCCAGCGAATAGGTGAGTTGTGCTCAATATGTGAAGTGTGAGCGGATTAATATATTGTTTATTTCATTGTTGTTTATATGAAGACATTGCTGGATTGTGGTCCATCACAGTGATATGAACCAAATGAGCCATCAGTTGCACATGGTTCTCTGCAAGGTGGTGGTCATAGATTAAACTTGTCATATCCAACACCTTGACATTCGTTTGGATAGGGATGAAACTTGTCAAATTCAATACCTTGACACGCGTGAACATAACGCGCCCCTAATAACATATAAGCATCAGGACTTAACAATAGGACTGGTGCGCCCACAGGCCTGACGTTCCTGCCTCCCCGCCTGGCCGCGTGGAGGTACCAGCGTGGCAAGCGGTCCTTAGCCATCAACGTCGTCTCTCATCCTGAAGTGAGCACACAATTATTATATTGATGATGCTTATATTGATGTTGCTTATATTGATGTTGCTTATATTAATGTCACTTACATATATTGATGTTGCTTACATTGATGTTGCTTATATTGACGTCGCTTATATTGATGTCAATTATATTGATGTTGCTTATATTGATGTTGCTTACATATATTGATGTTGCTTATATTGACGTCGCTTATATTGATGTCAATTATCTTAATGTTGCTTATATTGATTCCCACAAACTAGTGAAAAGGAAATTCTAGTGGAATTTCTCTTAAATGACAAATCAGAATCAAATCGATAATTGTAAACTCTACAATGCTCATGAAGTTTTGTTATATGTACATCATTTTTTTTAATAAATGTTCACTATTGATTGAATGGAAATGAAAAAAAATATTTGAAACGATTTAAATGGATAAAATTTGGCAGAATGACCAATTTAATGGTAGACCAATAATCTCGAAGAAATAATGAGGATTTTCTTAGTCCCGATCCATCACTCATTGAATAACGTGAGTGTTTTTACAGGCTGTTGTGCCTGTCGAGAATTCCAGCTGCCCGAACCCAGAAAAAGAAGAGGATGTCTCTGTCGCTGCTGAGGTGGAGGACATCATTGATGAACTGCTCAACGGCCTCAAGGACCATGACACCATCGTCAGGTTAGGACCATTACTGGGTGAGGGGAGGGGAGCACTCACTACCAACAGGTACAGCTGCAGTAAGACACTCACTACCAACAGGTACAGCTGCAGTAAGGCCCTCACTACCAACAGGTACAGCTGCAGTAAGGTCCTCACTACCAACAGGTACAGCTGCAGTAAGGTTCTTCCTACGTTCATTTTATATCTTCTTACGTTCATTTTAGGTCTTCCTACGTTCATTTTACGTCTTCCTACGTTCATTTAACGTCTTCCTACGTTCATTTTACGTCTTCTTTCGTTTATTTTACGTCTTCCTACGTTCATTTTGCGTCTTCTCAGTTCATTTAACGTCTTCCTACGTTCATTTTACGTCTTCTTTCGTTCATTTTATGCTCATATGCTCATTATTGTCTCGTATATTTGTACAGCGATTGCTGCGACATATATATATGTCTGTAGTTAGACGTATAATATATATGCAGAATGTAGATGTATCAGTATAGAGCTTGACATTTATTTACACTGGTCAGGTCGCCGAGGTCTGCTGCTGCCATCTACGCTGCCAGAGGTGGTGCAGGTGCTGCAGAAGGCCTTCGTCTATGACAAACTCTTGGGCCAGAACAGCGTCGGTTCTAATGTTAGGTGGGCTATGTTCTTTGTTCTGTAAGCTTAAAAATATGGTTTATTTACTAAATACATAATACAATGAATTAATGTTAACATATACCTTCTGTGTTCATTATGATACCTTGGAATGGCTGGTGAGGCATGCATCTCCACTGTATTATGATTTATGACTTGATTTCTATTGTTTGGACACCTTTGTTTGTGCTTGATCTGACTTGAGTGCCAATAATGTTGTTCTCGGACATTTTTCTTCTCATTTAGACAAGTTTGATGGTAGACCAGAGAATGAGTTTTATATATAATCTTCTTAATTATGAGCATATATAAAACTTGTTCTCATGTCTTCAATCAAACTTATCTAAATGGACAAATTTTGCCAACCTATGCCTACTGACATACTTTTTTGTTCATCTGATGGCAAGCTGCCACGCTTTTTTTCTTGGGACGCTAGTAGTTATTTGTTTACATTAATTCGCGATGTCAATCACTTGATTGGGTTTTTTCTTAATTTAACTTTGCCATAGCTCCGCGTGTGCTGTAACATTCTTGTTCATATTATGAATATCGGCTTGTGACCGCCTGAGAAGCTTCATCTTTCTAGAATACCGTAACTTAAGTTGCTAAGGTAACACTAGCGAAGTCGTTGCATATTTTGTCCTCTATTAAAGGCTTGAATTCAGTTGAAGTGAACCAATTTACTGTGTTATTCCTGTGAATTTAGGATTGCTCTGCATCTCAAATACTTCAGCAACTGCGGATTGCAGATCTGGCACTCCGTTTGTTCACTCATTGTTGAACTATATAAGGTTGACCCACGGGAAGTTCCGCCTTTCAGTTCAGCTTTCTTGTTACGTCACGTAGATCGAGAAACGTAAACAATCCCGTCATTCCCATTACGGATTGGAGGACTGGTTTGATCGCATTTCGGTGATTGGTTAATGCCCGTGACGTCACTGAGGTCAATGACGTCACAGGCGAACAACAAGCTCCGTCCGCAAAAATGAGCTTCACATGGGTCAACCTTATACTAGTTCAACCATGTGTTCACTATAGCTTTGCTATGTTCACGCGTTGTTTGCTGCAGGGACGCTGCCTGCTACCTGTGCTGGGCCTTAGCCCGCGCCTACGAGCCCAGCACCCTGGCCCCTTACGTCCAGCAGCTGGCAACGGGCCTGCTGCTTGTGGCCCTCTTTGACAGAGAGGTGAGCGGGGCCATCGTCGAGAAAGATTAGATGTCCCAGGCGTTGCGCCTCGTCTCCATCATTATTATTTATGCATAGGAAAATGAGTAATAGTGCCATAATATAATTATGAATGATTCACAATGTGTAGTCTGATTAAAAATGTCCATGGTGCTGCAGATCCCTTGTCGCCACGCGGCCTCCGCTGCCTTCCAAGAGCACGTGGGTCGGCAAGGAAATTTCCCGCACGGCATCGACATCCTCACGCGGGTCGACTACTTCTCTGTGGGCATCCGCGCCACATCCTACCTCGAACTGGCGCCCTTTGTGGCTAGGTCTGCTGCTGCCGTGTGCCTGTTGAACTCGTTACCTTTGTGGCCAGGTCTGCTGCTGCTGCCGTGTGTCTTTTCCGAAATTCGTTGTCTTCTTGCTAAATTCAGCAGAAAGTTGATGGATCGCCGACAGTCACCTACGATAAACCTAAATTTGTGTTAATTTTTGCTACCCGATTGTTTAATCATTAGAGGCATTAATTGTTTTGTGGGTGTAGACACGTTTTCTAAAGTATTTATTTAATTATAATAATATTGTGATGTGTTGTGCAGTTTCCAGGAGTACAGCGTGGCGCTCGCGGAGCACCTGGTCGAACACAAGCTCTCCCACTGGGACGTCGTCGTGCGGCAGCTCGCCGCCAAGGTGGGGTGCTGTGTGATGTGTATTGATGACGTGTGATGATGACGTTTGGTGACGTGTGAGAAACCTGGGAGAGCCGAGTATGCTGTTTATGGCGTTCAAATAAAACGGGCAACAAAGTTTGACGCCCTCGTTCAAATACTACCTATATTATTTTCTGTGCGACGTTGCATTAAAAAAAACATGTTCTCCCACGAAATAAGATTGATGTACATGGCTGTATGTTGTGGCTTGCTCTAAAATATCTCGTTGTTGTTTTAAAATCACAATTTGCAGTATCGTTGCCACTTGCCACTGACAGTGTACCACTGGGCAGAGTCTAGCACTGGTGGCACAGCACTGCCCTGAGCACTGCAGCGCCGTGCTACTGCCTCGTCTGCTGACAGCTGCCACCGGTGCCGTCCTGGTGGCACGGCACGGTGCCATCCTCGCCCTGGGGAGCCTCGCTGCCGCCCTCAGCGCCCTCGCCGCCTCAAGAGGCCTTCATCTGTCCTCGTACCTCAGTGAGTGGTGTGACGTGTTCCCCTCAGTGAGTGATGTGTTCCCCTCAGTGAGTGGCGTGTTCCCCTGTGACGTGTTCCCCTCAGTGAGTGGCGTGTTCCCCTCAGTGAGTGACGTGTTCCCTCAGTGAGTGGCGTGTTCCCCTCAGTGAGTGACGTGTTCCTCTCAGTGAGTGACGTGTTCCTCTCAGTGAGTGACGTGTTCCCCTCAGTGAGTGGCGTGTTCCCCTCAGTGAGTGACGTGTTCCCTCAGTGAGTGACGTGTTCCTCTCAGTGAGTGGCGTGTTCCCCTCAGTGAGTGACGTGTTCCTCTCAGTGAGTGACGTGTTCCCCTCAGTGAGTGACGTGTTCCCCTCAGTGAGTGACGTGTTCACCTCAGTGAGTGGCGTGTTCCCCTCAGTGAGTGGTGTGACGTGTTTCCCTCAGTGAGTGACGTGTTCCCCTCAGTGAGTGGCGTATTGGCTCGAGCCCCTGGGTTTTGTTTGGCCTCTGTGTTGGGAATGGGATTATAAATGCGTTTTTGTTGTGTTGATGGAGTTAGTAAAACAAATTCCTTATAGATTTCAATGGAAAATGAAATAAGATAACTGCAAATGTTAAGGTCGAGTGGTTTCCGAGGTGAATGTTTACCTTGGTTTCGCTAGTTTAAAATGAAAATCATTCGTCTTTTCCGATTGTTGAAAAATTATACTTGTTGATTTTTTTCTAATGCTGTTTCCAAATTTCAGACTAACTGAAAAGAAAATGTATTAAATTTCTGGTAAGCAAACTGAGTTTACCAATTAGTGTAAGTTAACCGTAATCAATAAGTCTGAATATGAGGATTGTTATTGTTGGGTGCAGTGAAGGCATATTGTGCAGGCGCTGCTGTGCTGCAGTCCATGTGGCGAGTGTCGGAGGAGCTGAGAGAGCGGCGGCTGGTCCAGGGAGCTGGGGGTGCCTACATGCGCGTGGCACTCGCTGAGATGATGTGGCACTGCTGCACTGCTAAGCTGCCCGTGCCACGACCCACAATACGTACGCTGTACCTGCGCTTGTCCCTGACTCATGTATATAGGGTCACATTTTTTCTTGTATACATCCTTCACTGAGGAAAAATGAATGGAACTATTCGAATAGCGATGCAATTCTCGCTCTTTTGTGGTTCATCTTGACGCAGTTCCATCCGGGACAAGGTCGTACGCAGGAATTAGGTCACTATTTGAACAATTTGTTCCATCAACTTTTTTCAGAGTATTGTTTGTATAGGACATGTTTCCAGGATTGTTCAACATATCAACTCGTTTCTTGTCTGCAGTCGTTATTTCTTAGAACTTCCAATAGGTGAGAATAACTTATAATCTTTTAATAGTCAAGAATTTCCTTCTCATTTCCATGGAGTGACTGGAATATAGCACGAGATCTCATGTTCTGCTGAACTTTTATAATTGACTGGCCACAACTTCTACAATTACTTTTTCTGCAGTAAATATGATCTACTACTTGCATGAAGTTAATAATTCAAATAAATTGTTGAACGTGAAGAAAATAATTAGTGCTAAATATAAGTGATTAACTTAGTTAAAATTTGTCAATTCTATGTTTCTGAGTAAATTTTGAAGGTGTTATTAAAACTATAAAATTTGGGACTTCACAAATTAACCATTATTGTTTTGGTCAGATGAATGGACGACCCTGCTGGAGGAAAGCATCGTGTATGAGGATGAAGAGGTCAACTTGTCAGGTGTGAAGGCCATAGCTGCTCTGTGGTCCTTCTCCTGCGAGGAACTGGCCTCTCTTCTTCCTATCGCTGACAAGGAGGGTGCAGCTGTTAACAAGGAGGGTGCAGCTGTTGACAAGGAGGGTGCAGCTGTTGACAAGGAGGGTGCAGCTGTTGACAAGGAGGGTGCAGCTGTTAACAAGGAGGGCTTGGTGCTGTCACCTGACACCCTGCAGCGATACCTGCAGCTCCTCAAGAGTGACCGGGAACACTGCGTTCAGGGCTGGGCTGCCGCTCTCGGTGAGACATGTTCTTAGTGCGCCTGCAAACCTGCTTCGTCTGTTCTTCTGATATCAATTCAATCGTGGGCTTAAATTCATCACTTCAAACATGGTCTAGACTCTAGACCGTGGTCGAAGTCGTCTAGACTCAAGACCCTCGAGACCAAAATCCTCATTCCAATCGTCTAGAGTCTAGACAAAGGATTATGATGCGAGGAAATGTATGGTGTTATATAATATTATTTGGGTTTCAGGAGGCCTTCCTCGCACCGTGCTAGAGATTTTATCTTCAATGCTATAGCGAGGATTGATCGCTGATTAAAGAAAAGTATCTAAATTTTTGGCAATGTGGTAAAGTATCTAAACTTATCATGCTCGTGGAAAGATGGTTGATTGGCTTATTGGCTTTGTTTAGTTGATGGACGGAAATGTTTTATCATTTAAATTCTATTCATATAATTTAAATTGACCTGATACTTACAGAAAGAGTATTTCCACCAAATAATTGTATTTGATGGCAGTGGGATTCTTTGTCAATCTAAATTTTGTTCTTATCTTTTACATTGAACTAATGCCGGTATAAAAGAGTACTATTTATCCCAAAATATTGTATTATGACAGTGGGATCTCGTTGTAAATTCTAAATTTTTTTCGTATATTTCCAATTAAACTCGTAGCAGAGAGTATTTTTAAACAAAGCTTTCGTATGATTTTATAATTGTGGGATCCCATTGAAAAGTCTAAATTATATCCATATACATATTTCTAATATTACTCATAGAAGAGTATTTTCAACAAACTATTTTGTATGATTTTATTACCGTGGGATCACGTTGAAAAGTATAAATTATATCCATATATTTCTAATATTACTCATAGAAGAGTATTTTTAACAAACTATTTTGTGTGATTTTATTATCGCTGGTGTTTGCAGGCCGCGGGTGCGTGGGGCAGCAGGAGCTGGAGGCGCTGCTGACTTGCTTCCTCACCGCCACTGAGGACTACACGACGGACAGACGGGGGGACGTGGGGGCCTGGGTGAGGGAGGCGGCCGTCACGGCCATGCAGGTGTGTGGGGGCCTGGGTGAGGGAGGCGGCCGTCACGGCCATGCTGGTGTGTGGGGGCCTGGGTGAGGAAGGCCGCCGTCACGGCCATGCAGGTATGTGGGGGCCTGGGTGAGGGAGGCGGCCGTCACGGCCATGCAGGTGTGTGGGGGCCTGGGTGAGGGAGGCCGCCGTCACGGCCATGCAGGTGTGTGGGGGCCTGGGTGAGGGAGGCGGCCGTCACGGCCATGCTGGTGTGTGCATGTGTTGCAGTATCCTTGGTATCTTTGGTATCCTTAGTATTTGTTTGGGACATAGCAGTCACAGGCCACGATGGATCGCCGCCTCTGGTTATCGTTCATCCGCCCTCATTTGGTCCAACTGATGCACGATGCTGTTGCTTGCTTCTCGCCTCTGGTAGTGTTGCAGGGGAGGTCGATCTGGGATTGTGCTCAGGAACACGTCTAGTTGTCTCTTGAAGGTCTCCAGGGTGAACTCCCCCTCTCTTAGANGTTTTTCAAACCTAATTTTACAAAGTTCTGTTTACATTGTAATTGTTACGAGTGTCTGTGTTGTACAGGTTCTAGAAGAAGACGCTGGTTTATCAGACTCGCTGGTGATGTCACTGCGTCGAAGCTGCCAGGGTTGCAGCGACTACCATAAGCTGGTTGCCGTGTGCGCTACCATGGCTGAGATGCTGCGACTGGACACCTCCTCCAGCAGGTCGCTGCTCAACCAACTCCTGCTCTTCTTAGGCTACCAGGTTAGTCCTGTCTCTTATACACATCTAGATGTGTATAAGAGACAGACCTTACACTTGGCTACGCCTACAGCCTCGGCGGGGTCTCCGCTACACTCGTGAGCATCATAAAGCACATTGACGTAAATCTATTAATGTTTTAAAAAGCTGATGGCAATACGATTGTCTATTACGATTGTCATCCACTGCACCAAATTTGCGCTAATATATCAGCAATTTGTTCGTTGCTGCGATTGACAAGCTTTGTCTGTTCGGGTGAAAAATTCCGGGTTTATCCAAAGCACCTTTGAACCAAGATCCGTGTTATTAACATAACAAAAGAGTTAAGCCCTAGGTTTAGGCGAATTTCTTGACACTCGGATTTCAAAGAGTTTTATTGAAGTCTTGTGAAACCATAGTTTCTGCAAGTATGATATAGGAAATATTATCTATCTACTATAAATTGAAACAAATGTAAGCAAAATTAATTCCAAGTAAACCATGAAAATGTCAGATCAAATTCATAATGAATGACTAATAAGTTGCAGCACTAGGTTAACGCACCGAAATATTTCGCCACTAAGACAATTCTGAACTGCAACTGACTAACTAATTTCTAGTACACTTCGGGCGGATGACTGAAGGTCTGAACTATAGGACTATGTGAAGCGTACATGTTAAATTGCGATTACACTTGCATGAATTCAGAGTTTCTGGAACTACATACATAAATTGCGTTGCTGTCACTCCTGTCAACTGAGATTCTTCTAAGAACCTTGAAGCACCTTTAGACTGGAGCAACCCTGTGGACACCATGCGTAAATCTTACATATACTACTATAGCTATCGCCCACTCGTGTTTGGTTGATAAGAAAGTATGAACCATTTATTTTGAAATTTTATGCAGGTAATTATATCTTATTCTGTTTAAGAATATAATTTTTAGAATCTAATAACCTGACACTTCTTTATTTAAGCATCAATAATTCAAAGGGTGCAACACTTACTATACGCTTTTGTTGTTATGTCGATAGTTGAACTCTCTGCATTTATATGTTATTGTATGCGCTGAATTGTATTTAGTATCGGCCGCGGTATTTTGCAAACCATTTATTCTGTATGTCTAATATGGAACATGTCGCTTGAACTCGAGGAAGCAATTTTCTAACCTTTTTGAATTCAGGACTTTCTAAAGCGCTAGAAGAACTACTACTACTTACATTTTTTGGTAGCTGATATAAGTTTGTTGTGCAGGCTCAGTCAAGTAAAGACGCGTTGGAAGGCCACCTCATGAAGAGCTCACCTGAAGACATCAAGATCTTCATCAGAACCTTGATGGAAGTGCTGACTGAAGAGCCGCCTGTAGAGCGCCTCGTGCTGCCCGTGCTGCGGACACTCGAGCACTTCATCGCTTCGTCTGCTCTGCTAGACCAGGTCTGGGGCTTGGCTACCAGAATGTAATATTATATTGTAACATATTATTATATTGTAATATATTATTATATTGTAATATATTATTATATTGTAATATAATATTATATGGTAATATAATATTATATTGTAATATATTTTGTAATGTAATACACGTGCAAGAATATTGTCCAGACGCTGGTGCTGTCAATGCTGTCCCGGGACCCCTGCCAGCGGCGGGGGGCGGGGACTACTAGTGACTATGAGTAAAAATATAACTCAGTAGGTACTCACTGCAGTGAGTGGCAGAGAGCGCATTATCTCGTCGACGAAAACGTGAAGTCGCGGACGAACAGAGGGACGGACGGGCATGGCGAGCACAATAGTGCATTTTTTTCCATAAATGAGAACTTTTTAAGCTAAACCCTGCAATCACAGACTAGTAATCGGCCCCTAGCTTTGTATGTAAGCGAGTTTTGAAAGCGCGGCCTGATTGTCTTGATTATCCCTCACTCCACATTATTGATCCCCATAATGATCAAAATTGAACAGGCCTAACTAATCCTCATCAAGGATCTGAAAAAATCATGACTGCGCATCATAGCACATCTCTGACGATTTGCTTACACTTTCTGGATTAAATTTAATAATACATCTTTATTATATCATGCACTATAATACATCCTCATAATACCATGCACTATAATACGCCTTTAATATCTTGCTAGCTTCTGCTTTCCTTGTGCTGAAATATAATTTTTATGTTTTGCTATTTAGATCCTTAAGTTTCTTTTTACATGTTATTGTTTTTCACACCTAATCTTATGAACTTTCTTTTTAAATTGTTATTGTTTTTCATAACTAATCTTATAAAGTTTCTTTTTACATCTTATTGTTTTTCAAACCTAATTTTACAAAGTTCTGTTTACATTGTAATTGTTACGAGTGTCTGTGTTGTACAGGTTCTAGAAGAAGACGCTGGTTTATCAGACTCGCTGGTGATGTCACTGCGTCGAAGCTGCCAGGGTTGCAGCGACTACCATAAGCTGGTTGCTGTGTGCGCTACCATGGCTGAGATGCTGCGACTAGACACCTCCTCCAGCAGGTCGCTGCTCAACCAACTCCTGCTCTTCTTAGGCTACCAGGTTAGTCTGACGTGATCTCTTCTTTTTGGGTTACAAGTCCTACCTCTACGATAACATTACTATAATATAAAGCATTACTTTTGCAGTATAAAATCTCGCTCTGTGATAACATTAACATAATATGACGTATTAATTTAACACATTTATGATGATAGAATATGTAGAATATACTAAATACTTTAATTGCATTGGATTTTGTCAACTTTATTAAAAAATAAATAATAAACCGCCATAGCTTCATCATGCGAGAAAATGGCTTGTTGTTTTGTTTCTTCTCACGACTTCCACGGAACTAATTCTACATTTTGTTGTTGAGGAAATTTAGTGAAGAATAAGTTACATGTCAAAAATTTTTTGTCCAATTTTTGTAAAATAATATTGTCCATCATGGCCATGTAACTCTCTTACACTTCTTTGGTATGGTGCCGCCACCGCCATTATTAGCTACTCAATTCATAATATATTGAACAGCCAAACGAGAGTTTATCGATGGTATCGTTGCTCGAATTCTAGCAGGGTTTGCGAACTTAAAGTTCATTTCCGGTAGATCTTACGAACACTATCGAGGTGCGGTATGATTATACACCTTGCGTATTATATTTGCTCTGAATGTCAGGATTTAAGGTTTAGCTGAGACTGTTCTACAAGTAATGATGCGAATCTGAATACTAACCTGAAATTCTGTGAGCTTAATTCGTCTTTAATGCTGTATGTTATTCTCGTCATTCCTTGATATCTCAATATGTTGCTGTTAGTTGTTTAATAAACTTTAATATTGTTAGATACACGCCAAGAGGGATTGTTGAATCTCTTCGTGTGTAGCAGATTTGAAGATATCAAATAGGAATTATAATAACGACTATTAATTTGTTCTCCTATGGTTTGTTACAGTATCCTAAGGTGCGGAGTGTGACTGCCACGTCCTTGGTGACCGCGCTCGGCGAGTACGGTGACGACCTCGTCAGCCGCGGTGTAGCGCCTTCACAGGACGCGCTCGACCAGGTCTTGAACGTACGTACCTGGTCCCATACTTTCAAATAAAAGTTAAGAGATCGTAAGTTCATCCGTCAATCATTGATGGTCTTTCGAGCAAAATCCACCAATCACAGACAAGAAAATAGAGCGTAAGTACTTAAGTTCACTTAGCAAATTTTGAAAGTATGGCCCCTGGGCCTTGTCTTGAACGTACGTACCTGGGCCTTGTCTTGAACGTACGTACCTGGGCCTTGTAGACTAGTTCTTGCTCTCACTGCCATAGACTAGTTCTTGCTCTCACTGCCATAGACTAGTTATTGCTCTCACTGCCATAGACTAGTTCTTGCTCTCGCTGTCATTGAATAGTTCCCAAACTCGTCTGATTATGGTGCCCCCTCATGGCAGGTGCTAGAGGAGACGCTGTGGATGGAGGCGAGCTTGGCTGTGGTGCGTGAGCAGCGCAACAAGTGCTGCCTGCTTCTCAACCTCCAGCCGCCTGCACCCAAGAAGAAAGTTAATTGAGATTACCTCTCATGAAATTATTTACTTTTGAGATTTATTCCCATGAAACAAATAAATTAAATCTCAAGATCTTTTCGCACTTGAATCATTTATTTCATAATTCAAAGAAAGATTCTCAACGATTTATTTTTCGGAAAGTAGGATAAAACCATTTAAATTTTTGTATCACTTGGAATATCGTCTTGCGAGACTAACCTGTTACAAACATTTTTTTATATTCTTTATCTAGTTTTTTTAGATCGTGAAAATCATCTCAATACTGCCAGGTGCCTTCGAGGTTAGCTTCTAAGCCTATCGTTGTCATACATTAAACTTACGATACTCACATTTATTTCACACATTCTCGTTGCTTATAACGCATCATATTAAGCTGTGATAATTTATCTATATTTAATATTAAGTCCATTCCAACCACACAATTAACAAATAAAGTTCCTTAAAGTATGATCTTTCATCTTTTTATAATAAATTCATTGTCAAAGCAGCCCAAACATTATCACAAGAGTCGGCAGGAATCAGTGGATGTTGATCATGACGGAACGGACTTGAAATGTTTTCCTTGTTGGGGAATTACAGCCTTACTGTGATATGATTTCTATTTATTTTTGAAATATAAGAAGCTAAATTTTGTCTAATGGCGATCTTTCCGACGAATTTCTTATTCAAACTGCGAAGGAAATATATTGGCTGCTTCTTGGCTAAATAATAGCTTCGGTTTGTCTACGTGTTGTTTAACTAAAGTTTTTTACGTTATAATTTTAGTTTAAAATTTTTATATTACGTTCTAATCATGACCGTACTTTTAATTATTCCGATATTTTTAAATTGTTCACTAACTCGCGCAAATAAAACGGCTAATATAACCGTCTTTTATCTTCCTCCATAGAACACCGATTCTGTATGAAATTAGTCCTGAAAGTAATCCTGAGCAATTTTGTCTGTAGTAATTGTCTTCCTTAATTTTCTATTTCACTTGCCGCAGATTTCTTTCACACTCAAAGGTATCATAATAAAGATTTTATCTTTCACAACGCAAATGATAAATTCAATTATAGTACGCATTTGCTCTATCAAAGTGTACTGAAATGTTAAACACAACGAGTTCACAAGTAGAAGAGGAAGCTAGATTCGTTTAAGTTCAAACTCATTGCTGGGCTCGAATAATCACCTGCCTGACACGAATGAATCAGAACATCTCATAGAGCAAAGATATTTGAAACTTCTAATTCAACAGTTCCTATTCTGCTATACAATTCTGCTTCACGATTCACTTAGAAATTGGTATACAATAGAAGTAAACGTGATGTTTGCGTACTAGACGTAATTGGGAAAGGGGAGCGTGATGGAGGCCAGCAACTTTACACTTCAGGGCATATTCTATCAATGGTCGAGCAAGCTAGTGGGCGACGTAGCCTGTGGTGTTAGATTCCTAATGCCTTAGCGCTGTTAGTCACGTTTTCATATAGAGTCTGCAGCCGTCAGCAACAAATTTAACTCTTAAACCAGCCTTGAAGCAAACGCTGCAAGGCTTATAACTAAACGCGCCAGTGAGTCATCAAATCTGGGGCGCATGCCGGAGGCCAAACGTCACACTTAGTTCATATTTCTTTCCGTAGGTAAGAACGCTAGAGGACATAACAGCCGATGAAGTCTAGTGCTCACAGTCATAGCGTCCGATTTTGTACCATTATGTCCTGGAGAAAACATACATTTCGCGGTACGCACATGTACCACTTCGGAGTCAAAGTGTTGACGAAAGTTGGACTGGACCGTGACAGGCAGTATGGTGTTAACCGAGCCTAATGCTGACTGGAATTTAATCTCAATTCACGTTCATAATTCGACCGTTAACCCTTCCCCCATTCCACTCCCCTCCACCTAGATTCTTATATTTCAAACTGATTTCCTTTGTATTCCTTATCATATATTCCTTATTCATTATGGGCACGACATCTACGCTCGTTTATTTAAGATATGTTCACAAACATTGCGTTGCTTACATTATTCTTCTTTAATATTAATTAGAGCTTGCAAGCACCATCATGGGCAAATTGAGTTAGTTATTAATTTCATTGGTATTCATAGCCCGAACTTTATACATTAGAAAATTGCTGTTAAAGTTACGGCTCTATTTACTGAATCATTCCACCTTTAAATTTCAATTTAAATGCTGGTGTGTGACCTGGTCCACTATTGGGACTGAATCTTATTTTGAAAATTTATTAAAGGAGAAAGCAACCTTCGTTGATATTCAAAGTAACTGTCGGTAATGTTATTCATACGTATCTGAGGTCCTTTATTCCCTAGAGTTAATCTCAGTAGGAAGGGTGCAGAAGACATAATAACTTTTAGCATAGTAGTTTTGCTGCGCCGCTCTGGTTGATCTTGCGAAACTGCAAAAATTACTTACACTCTTCAGGCGAATAATACTGCAAAAAATTAAATTAAGTCCAGAATTACCGTTGTACTGTGAAACTACTGTAGCAAGCGCCCAGTTATCCTGATTCTGTCAATTAGATGGATGCACTATAGTAACACTGAACAAACAGTAATTAAGCACACGTAAAGAGATTGTACACAAGTATACAGCGAGTGTCAGTGACACATGCGACGTGCAAGCGAAGCTAGACGCACGTGTAGCCTGAATCTTGCAGCTGCCGCACAGGTGCTGTGGCCGCCTCCACGTGCCAGTGTTAATGTTATCTGTCGCAGCTGTGGTGATCTGTCAGTGCTCTCTCTCTTTTTGACAGCCTTAAATCAACAGTGCTTTATATATCACATGCAGTCGTGATTTTCAAGTGCTTAATAAACTATTTCCAGCATAACTTTAGATTCTTGCGTTCTCTGTTCATAATGAGATCAAATATTCATCTCTTGATTTTACTGAACACGCGTTACAGTATCGGAAAAATGCATCACATTTTATAAATGCTACGAAAGTTTTTTTTTAGAATTTTTGAGTTACTTCAAAAACGGAAACTTCAAACTTGTGTCATAGAAACGCAATGGTTGTATGGTGCCGTGCAAATGACGTTCCACAAATAGTGCACAGCTGAAACTATTGCAACGCACTCGGCTCGGCAACACCGAACGGCGGTTTACTGTCGCGTGACGGGTCGTTTCTGAAATGCGGAGCTTGTTCGAGTGCAAAAACGAAAAGGTTATTTAATTCCGCGAGGCTTCGGCTAGAACAATAACATATTAAAACGATTTCTTTTTCGGTATTACTTTACATTAGTGGATAGTTCCTACGGGGGCCTTAAAATTTTCAAGTACAAATTGTAAATTCATACATAAAATTCATCGTTAATTGCTTACAGATTCTTTGGAAATAAAATGGAGATGAAAATGTGCACGGAATGTCCCTTGGAAGTGTGCTGAAATGGCCCCTGTATATCACCTTACTAATTTTAAAATTTGAAACCGCATTACATTTCAACAAAAATGCTCGTCGTCGGGATTGCCTGAGTTTTTCATCACCAATTGCGTGATAAAATATAAGCGGGGAGAACTAATTCCAAGAATAAAAATTGTTATACAAAATTACTAAACATTTAACAATTGGAGTTCAGAACGCAGAACGCTAAATGACAAATCATAAAGGTTTTAAAACAATGTTCGAATGTTTCGTTCAAGAACAGACTAGATAAAGCTATGGAAAATATGTTTTCAGACTTGAAATGCCTAGCACCATATCGAACCCGGTGGAAGTCTAGTAACTATTTCAAACTATCGTTAGTCATGAAAAGATCCGGTCAAATGAGCCGATTTTAGATCTGTGAACAAGGCACGAAAAGTACAAGAATGGGCGACAGGCCACATCAGGCCTACACTTCAGCGCCGACATCACTATGTTATGTTATGTTATATTTGATTAGGTTAAAGGCTTTATTTCGTGTATGAACCTATATTGATATTAATTTTTAATTCACCCAGCGTCACTTTAGTATTAATTGCGCCGACTTTCAACGTTTATATTTTTCAGGTGATATATATTTTTCTGGTGATAACATACCATTATGCAAATTTTCCTACAACGTACCAAAAAATTCATTATTTATGCATAATATACTGAATAAATTTGATTGAATTCGCACAAGTTCATCTCCTAACTAATAGGAACGCATTAGTCCAAGTGCTCACTATTCAAGAAAAAACACTGGTCTTGGTGCTCTTGATATACTGAGGGAACTTCAGCCGCTCTCGCATGGGATGACTTCAACGGAAGATTCGAGCCTCGCCGCCGAAAAGCAACGAATTGTACAGCCTGAGGCCAAGTCATACAGCAACGGTGTTAATGTGAGTTATTTTAAGTTTTAGTTCAAACGCGATCACCTTTTACTTTTAATTGTTATCACATCTACCCTCTTCAGTGCTATTGCTTCAACATTGTATTAAGGGTTGAAGGAATGATAAATAAGGGATGAAGCTTTGTGCAGCTAGAAATGCTTCGTGCAAATAAATACTAATTAAGATGGTTATTTTTGACGCTACTTCAATAGGCACGCAGCTTTTAGCAAATAATTTCGTTTATTTGTTTTGTGTAACTACATAGAGCCTGATTTTTTCATAATTGGATGCTTGGAACTCATTAATCAACTCGATCATGGAACTCATTAGGTGCGCGTATTAATCAGAATGCTGCGACGAACGTTAATAAGCTGATTCTGTTAAAGTCTTAATTAATAACTTTATTTATTTCCGTTTTCATAAGACTGGTAACCTCTTTCACGTTTTAGAAAAGTATTCGTTATGCATAACACGCAAATCACCAATTTGAGGATTTATCTGATGATCTCATATGTAAACTCTAACTTTATCGCAATAATCTCAATTTCCTTTGAGAGAAACATCGCTGCTCCTCTCCAGGCTTAAGCACTTTATAAAAAGAATACTAGACTGGAATTTTATTTTTTAATATGCTACAAATATGCAACGTTTACATGAATGCTACTCACCCTCCGACTAATTTTTACTTCATCAGTCTGACGAAGAGCGATTATTTATACTAACGTAGAGCGATTATTTTTACTGATATGTAGGAGCAATAATAAGCTTCTTAAATGCTTCAGTTACACGCGAGAATAATCGGGAATACCAACATAATCTCACATTTTCCCTATTGATTTTGATTAGTTGAGTCTTCAGGGAAATTAAATATTGGAGAGAAATCTTTAGCCCGGAAAAATGACCCCAATGAAAAGTAAATAATAATTGTTATGTATTATTTGATAAATAAATAAAATAGGTTAAGGAACCCGGACCTCGACTGATTTAATTGGGAAACTTGTTAGTTATATCGAAATGGATTGAGGTCGAAGGTGTACTCAGTGTGAAGGCATGGTGAAGTAAAATATATTGAACTGCTTGACTTTTTCCTGTGCCTATTTTACATAAAAATATACAAATCTAGGCAAAAAAATTTGAATTATTTTCAAACATCCTCCACATCGCAGTTGGTTGTAATATTTGGGCAGATCTTGTGTGATTGTAGTCCGGTTAGGATAGCGCAAATGCAGCTAAAACTGCAGTACGCGACTACGCGCTACTAAAATGTCAATCATGCTAAATTAACCAAATAATCACCAGAATAAAGTTTGATGAAAAAGTTCGTCGTAAAGAACTTGGGTTTTATGCAGTTGTTATACAAGTTAATTGTGAAATTGTCCACCTTCAATAGAAACTTGAGTGTTTTTTTTTCAATTGATGAGGGAAAGCGATTATATTATAATATAGACAACGCGAGGACGGTTATTGATATGATATCCTCTTCGCCCCTTATTCTTCATTAACTAAATGGTGCTTCTTGCAAGAGTGATCATACTAGTAGAATATTTTCTTTGCTTCAACTTATTGTAAAAAATCAACTATGATACTTTTTTTAAATATCCCATGCATATACGCTCCTGGCAGGTCCAAATATATAAAGTATCATAAAATAATTGGCACAGTTCATTTATGGAATTGGATTTAATGCAAGCGGCTCGAAATCTGACGGGGAAAATTAACAATAACGTATAAACATTCATTGACATAGGCGATATTTGTTGCATTGAATGGAGATGAATGATTTTGGGTTATTCTCCGGAACTGAATACTTATAAATGTATACACTATTACGACAAATTCGAATGGCTTATTTTACAAGTATTCTTATTGAATGCAAGGTTTCTTCTTGCAGCATGGCGCGACACTGGGCTCGCTCATGGCCCCCAACAAGACCGACAGCTCTGATGCTCTGCACTCGACCTCCCCGTCACCGAGCACCGCCTGGGACACCTTCAGCGCCCACGTTAACTACGTCAACGCAGTTATCGGCAGCGGCATCATCGGTACGCCGGCGCCAGGGTCTTAATCACTCCTACGTAACTGACGGGACTTCTTGGTCTCCATATAGCCACTAGGCACGAATAGCATTGACGACGGTAAATGTATCCGAGATCAAAAGGCTAAGGTGCTTGCACACAGGGGCAGTAGATGCGACCAGTAAACCGTTTAAATGCTAACTGCTATTAATTACTTGCTACTGGCCACGTGTGGGGNCAGTACCGCCCATAAGCGGGCCGATATAGCGCGATAAATACTGGCGGGAAGGGGTTAAAAGTTTTACTGACCGCAACTCTTAACTCCGAGAACAAGCACCTCTAACACTTAGTGTTGAATTAGTGATAGTGACATGGAATATTAACGTATTCACCAATAATGCATTAGATAACACAACTGTGGTGGTGGAAATAATATAGACGATTCCTGAAAATGAATAGCGTAGCTAATTGACGATAATAATATAGACCACTAAAAATGATAGGTTTTTAATAATAAAATCGACAACTTTACCGATTGAGCATCTGAAGTAGTTCATTTTAATTTTCCGTGAAAGAGAAATATTTTCATATTATCTGGCTGAATATAAATGTTTCTCATTAACGTTTTTCAATAAATGTAAATTTGATCGAAGAGCCAGCAACTTGAGAGCAAACTGATGATATGAATACTTAATCCAGAAGTTGTGACAAGTTAACAAAGTTTACTACACTTCGATTCAGCGTATTTATTTGTGTAATATATTCAATAAATCATGAGTGTAAAGGCATTACATTTATAAAGCGAAATGCTCCCTAAATCATGGGATTTATTCAGGCGAGAATTTAAGAGTAGATGCGTTCCATAAATATAAGTAATGCAGTATATATTCCGATTACTATTGTTTATATTTCACATTAATCAATTATTATCAAAATATAATTATTATACTAGCGCATTTGTCTGCATATGCCGGTATTGACACTGACATCATTTGCATCATATATGAATTGAACGAATGGAACGAACATGACATTTATTAGCTCTAGAGTTCACGCTCGTGGTTCATGTTTATTTAGTTACTTTGGTTTGCACTTGAGATCATCAATCAATAGGTTGCTAATAACAGGGTAGACTCGTGCAGTTTATTTGCAGTGCTGCTCTTAAAGAACATTGTACTGAGAAAAATGATTGGGTCGCATAGTCCATATAGTAACAACCCACAGCAAAAGTGGTTAAAGTTCAGAGTACCAGGATTGGCGCAGAGAGGCGCGGGTTCGATCCCAGCTCTGTGCGCTTCTTCATGCATACCACACTTCCGTAGCAATGCACGACATTTACGTGCTTATTTGCTCGCCCTCATGCTCCTCATGCAGGTACATCTCTCGTGCCCACCGTTCATTATCCATTCTTTCTCGTGGTACTTCATATCTCAATGCTGCATTCATTATTTTCTCTTCAAACGTGCTCTATCCCATATATCTCTTCTCAAAACCTCCACACCAGTCCATCTGGATGCCCCAAGTGCCAGTCTAGCTTTCTTATTCTGTACAACTTCAAATTTATTCAGTTACCATCATTCTACGCAATAACGTTCATTCCATACCAATAACGTTCATTCCAAACTTTTCCATGCTTCTCTTAGCACATCATATTTACTTGCTCTCACACTTGCTGCACTGCCCAGTATTCCTAACCACTGACTTGCTTTACTATAAGACTCTACGCTTTAGTTCTCTCACATTCTTTTTGGTCCACACTCATTTTGGTCACATTTTATTTCTTTTGGTCACATTCTTTTTGGTCCACGCACATTCTAAGTACATATACTATTTGTTATATCCACACACATTTCCTCGCAGGTGCCACACTCATTGAGTTGAATTTGCCTTTTGAGTTTAGAAAGATTAAGTTAATTTGTTGCATCGATGTATAATTTTAGTTTTTTTTTAAATTATATATTGTAAATCACAATGTAACTGACATCAAACAGAAGTAGGACTAAAATTGATTAAAAATTTCAATGTTACTTCCAAAATGGTTCACCGCAAGTTATATTTATCATCGCAATTATTGTTATGTTCTATTAATAATGCATGAATGAAATTGACCATAATTGATCCTATAAAAAATGCTGTTGCACTTATTCTCATTAAACACATTTGTTGTACTTCGAATATGTCTTAGCAGTTCTTGCATGTTTAATTCTCATATTTCTCAAATTTTCAAAGGTGTAAAAATTTTCAAAATATGTAAAAAGGACACAGAGTGATCGCCTACGAGATTGCCCTCTAAAACTAAAAAATGTAGAAGAATTTCCCTGCCAAATGATGCTTTTTCAATTTGCGAAAAAAAAAGATTACTTCATATACGTAAATTTCCGAAGGAAATAAAGTATTCAAATTAGATGAAATAAACTGTACGTGGGGCCTCACTTTCGTCATTTCGTTCCAACTTGCTGCGGAAAAAATGACCGATGTTGAAGTTTTGGCTGTCAATAACTTATATTTTTTATAGGAAAGAGGAAAACGGCTTTATCTATTTTTAAACATCTATGAGGTGATTTATCAAAATTAGCGAAATAAGTGGAAAAATTTTCTGAAAATTATTTTTGCGCCATAATAACTTTGGTGTTTCGGCCATGCCGTTAGTGTTACGGGAATAACTTTGGTGTTTCAGTCAAGCCGTTTTTGTAACGGGAAAAACTTTGATGTTTAGGCCATGACGTTTTTGTAACGGAAAAAACGTTTCATGCCGTTTTTGTAACGGGAAAAACTTTGATGTTTCAGCCATGCCGTTCGCGCTACGCGAGGCAGGGTTGGTGCTGGGTGTGGTGGTGATCGTGCTGGTGGCGGTGGTGACGGACATATCGCTGGTGTTGCTGATGAGGGCAGGAAGGGCTGCTCGCACCAACACCTACCAGGACACTGCACTAGCATTCCTGGGGACGCCTGGCTTCATCGTGTGTGGTGGCCTGCAGTTCGCGGTGCCTTACTTGTGTGAGGATAACACTGAACTTTATGTCAGCAATTGCTGATGTGAATTGCAAGATAAAACGATATTCACTGAGCGGAAAGACCATTTATTAAAATAGATTCACGTGTACATTTCTAAAGCTGCTAATGAGTTACTACACATGAGCTGCTAATGAGTTACTACTAGTAACTAGGGTTACTAAGATTTACGTATAAAGAGTGATTAATTGATACGCATTATCCATATTCACTCACGTCTCGCTTATGACAAATAAATACTGAAAAATTTGAAATCTTTCTCGTTGATTGTCAAATCCTGATTATTGTGTAAATTAGTTCATAACTGAGAGATTCTAGTGAATGCTTGGTTTCATAATTGTATTTTTTTTGTTTCATTTGATCTCTTTTTTTGAGGTTTCATTATTGGTTATTCAGAGTTGGTATCTGTAACCAGAGATCTCTCGCTTTCAAACTAATTCTCAGTTCTACGTATCCCAAAACATATTCGTATAACTAATTAAGAAAAATTATATGTATTGAGTCTGGTCACGAATAGAACATATTGATTACTTCAAGCATCCAATTTAATAGGCTTTTGCAAACGAGTTCAGCATCCCAGCTATGACACATAGCATCATCAGCCTTCTTACAACGTCGAATTGCAACTTATAGCTGTCTTCATTCTTCCCTTAATCTTAATTAATACAAACTTCTGGCTTTACCAATGACAAAATTGGAAAGAATGCATTAATCTAGCCTTGATCAGTGAATCTTATTGCTGATTTTTGTGTGAATAAATTAATTTATTGTTCAGCGATGATCAGCTACAACCTGGTGGCGGGTGACGCCCTCCCGAAGGTGTTGCAGAGGATGGCAGAGCTGAACCCTCACAGCGTCTGGCTGAGCCGCGAGCTGCACATAGCGATGGTGACTCTGCTGGTGACACTACCCCTGTCATGCGTGAGGTGAGAGCGACAGCATTATAATTATCGTACAAATATTTTTTCAGTTTAAAAATTTTTATATCATATCTGCCAAATTTACAAACTTAACTCGTTAATTTTTGATAACTATAACTAAAGATTTCATTTCTGACTAAGATGATAATCGTTTCCACTGTAAAAGTGACAAAACAAACCGTACGGATACATTAACTGCCCTTCAATATACCAGCGTTTAATTGTTGGTGTGTTCGGCGTTAGGAGCATCAAGACGCTGGCACACTCGGCGCTGCTGTCAATTGCCATCCTGGCAGTGCTGGCCATTTCGATTGCCCTCAGAGTCCCGGTCATGACGGAGCTAGAGTGAGTGATGAGGTCTTTCATTAGTTATAGATCTGTATAATATCTATCAATTACAATGATATTATATTATGTTATTATGTAATGCTAATACGTATTTTACAATGTTTGAATTAAAAGTGTTTTTCACGCATGCTTCCCCGTCATGACGGAGCTAGAGTGAGTGAAACGGTCTTTAGATCTGTATAATATTTATCAATTACAATGATATTATATTATGTTATTATGTAATGCTATTACGTATTTTACAATGTTTGAATTAAAAGTGTTTTTCACGCATTCTTTAAATGGACATCAGGAATACTAGGAGAAATAATCAATTCATGTGCGATTAGACGAAATGTTTTCGCATCATCACTATTAAAAACGCCTTAATTAGGAGCTGAACAGTTGACGTTGGAGAATAATGATTACACCTCAGATTTACTCTCTGAAGATAGCGATGAGGGCCAACCTTTAGGTTTATTATTGCCTCGGGCCTGGGTCCAGCTCAGGCCATCGTAACGTTCGGCTTTGGCATCCATCAAATTTCGTTCTCGCTCTACCGATCACTTGATGAAAACGTTCAGCGATGGAACGAGGTTTGAACATTAAATGAATTGAAATAATGACTCATGTTGGTCAATTAACTTGTGAAATCAAAGGTGATTAAGCAACAGGAATTAAATTAAAGACAACTTGAAATCATAGACTAACTTTTTCGTTACTCAGCTGTACAACATACAATAATTTATCGACACCTTCGGAGCTGTTATAAATGCATTTAACGAATTTGTACACAAATTTCACATGTAAAATGCGTTAAATGCGGCATTATATTGACTATGTTCCACATTCTGATTGCTATAATTGAGTTCAATATTTCAGACGACACACGCGTCGCTGGCCGCGTCTGCTGGGCTGTGCATCTTCATCGCGATCGCTGGCTACGTAACGTTTGGCAAATTCACGCAAGGTTCCGAATTTTAAAATTATTTTTGCTATTCCTAGTTAAATATTTCATGCTTTTTGAAAAAATTTCCCTAGAATGAATGGGATTGTTTGTGATATTTTTAAGGAAGTTTACAAAATTTTAGATATGTTCTAAAATGAAATAGAAAATTTTGGAAATGTCGCTAGAGTATTGCAGACAGTGCCCCTCAGCTAGCCGCCTGATTGCTTGAATTATTGTATGTAAATCGAGTCATATAGAAAAACCAATGCTATTAAAACAAATTTAGCCCACTGCATTTTTCAGTCTTATATAATGAATGTGCTATCCAATGCTATGAATGACAAAGGCGGCTACCGCGAATCTAGTTGTGATGTGATATTTCTCTCGAATTTTGTATCCAAATTTATTTACATGCATCGTATATTGAGCTTTACATCGTATATAGAGTTTAACTCCTGAAGAATGGAACATTGTAGATTCTGAATAAATAGTTCGGACTGCTTGATGCACAGGAGACCTTCTGGAAATATTCTAAATAAACAGTTCTAAATAAACAGTTCTAAATAAACAGTTCTAAATAAACAGTTCTAAATAAACAGTTCTAAATAAAAAGTTCTAAATAAACAGTTCTAAATAAACAGTTCTAAATAAAAAGTTCTAAATAAACAGTTCTAAATAAACAGTTCTAAATAAACAGTTCTTAATAAATAGTTCTAAATAAACAGTTCTAAATAAACAGTTCTAAACAAACAGTTCTAAACAAACAGTTCGGACTGCTTGATGCACAGGAGACCTACTTGAGAATTACTGCTGGCGCGACGACCTCATGAACGTGATGCGATGTCTCTTCGTCTTCACGGTGCTCTTCACATTTCCCTCTGAGTGCTTCGCTGCCAGAGAGGTCATCGAGACCTCATTCTTCGGGTACACGCGTTCCGAATAATATATAATTCATAGAAAATTTCGCTTTTCATTACTTCATATTGCATAAGCATGAAGAACATGAATTGCCATATGGATCGGACTTGACTACTAAAATCACGTTTTTTCCTTGCTCAACAAATTTCAAAATATAAAATGGTGCCAATATGAAAACTCACAGTTGCATTTTGGTAAAACCATCGAATTTTTATGTCGGTTTCAATGCAGGAAAAGCCAGCCGGCGTCCACACTTCGTCATTACGGGATTTCCTTGGCTTTGGTGGTTTCGGCAATGCTGCTGTCATTCAGCACCAGATGTCTCGCCTTCGTGCTGCAACTTACCGTAAGTTTGCTGTAAACTTCCAGCGTTTACTTGATTTAGTGTTGATTACTCAACTCATAATCATCATTATAAAACTGTTTCTTAACAGGAGTATCATCAGTCTAGGAGGTCGGACAGTTCGACGTCTAGAGTAGGTCAAATAGGCATAAAATTAGGCTCGTTATTAGACATTTATAGTATTTGATATTCCGATTGATAACTGCCTGTCAAGCCTGTTGTCTCATTGACAACAGTCGAAAATTTTGGTTATGTATACGCGTTATTTTCTGGCTGAACATTTCGTCGGCGGATAAGACATGTCTATCTACACTTCCAGTTTTACTTAAGACTTTAAACTAGCATCAACTTCTGCACGGGCCTATTTTCACAGAGATAATTTGAGCTCAACGATGGCTGACTCGTTAGAGGCAAAACAAACGATCCTATTGCGTTATCTTTTGTCTGAAAACTCTCGATTTGAATTGAAAATTTTATTTGATAAATATTTTTCTTAACCTAGTTTTACATTTTTAGCGCATTTTCTCATTTATGGAAAAAAGGGCTATAGAGCTTGTCATGTCCGTCCGTCCGTCTGTCCGTGACCTCACGGACGGACGAGAAAATGCGCTCTTTGTCAGTCACTGCAATTATTACACCTCAGATTTACTCTCTGAAGATAGCAATGAGGGCCAACCTTTAGGTTTATTATCGAGCTATGATATGAATTGTATGCTTATGAGGTTTGTGTCAGAGCTCATTATATTAAGTTATACCTGAGGATCCAGTTACACGAGTAAGGTCGTTGAGGATGAGTAAGACTCATGTGTCTGATAACATCTCTTATATACGAGGTGGTTACGAGGAGTACGATACAGAGGTATAAGCTACAGCGTCGACTGTAAGGGTACGCACACAGTGAAAGCAGATTTGCCCGCGCGGGCAACCTGCTCCAACCTGCCACAAGAATGAACATAGGATAATAATGTAAGTGTTCACAGTGAAAACCTGTACGAATAGGCTTTTGTATTCTTTGGTTTCAGGCGCCAGCCTGAGCAGGTAACCAGCACGCTGGCAACCTGCTTTCACTGTGTGCGTACCCTAAGGTCGGAGAACTCAGCCGACACGTTACATCGCGGAACGCTTATCAAATACTGCGGGGGGCCTTACTTAAGGTTGCTAGCCCTTATATAGCATTCGCTTCCGCGCACTACTATATAAGGTCTTGATCACGTGATCTGTCACGTGTCTTCCAGATGCTGACTCATGTCATCAATGTCCATCAGTCTCAGGTCAAGTGAATATTACGCCCCCAATTACATACAATTATAATGATTATAATGAGACGACTGATTGACACCGGACATTTGTTCATTTACAGTGGAGTGACATTTAGCAGCCTGCACATGCTTGCCTCGGGCCTGGGTCCAGCTCAGGCCATCGTAACGTTCGGCTTTGGCATCCATCAAATTTCGTTCTCGCTCAGAGCTATGATATGAATTGTATGCTTATGAGGTTTATGTCAGAGTTCATTATATTAAGTTCTACCTGAGGATCGGGTTACGTGTGTAAGGCCGTTGAAGATAAGTAAGACTCATGTGTCTGATAACATCTCTTATATACGGGGTGGTTATACAGGAGTACGATACAGAGGTATTAGCTACGTCGTCGACAGTAAGGTCGGAGAACTCAGCCGACACGTTACATCGCGGAACGCTTATCAAATACTGCAGGGGGCCTTACTTAAGGTTGCTAGCCCTTATATAGCATTCGCTTCCGCCCACTACTAAGGTCTTGATCACGTGATCTATTACGTGCCTTCCAGATGCTGATTCATGTAATCAATGTATATCAGGCCAAGTGAATATTGCATCCCAATTGCAAACAATTATAATGATTACAATGAGACGCCAGATTGACACCGGACACTTGTTCATTCACAGTGGAGTGTCATTTAGCAGCCTGCACATGCTTGCCTCGGGCCTGGGTCCAGCTCAGGCCATCGTAACGTTCGGCTTTGGCATCCATCAAATTTCGTTCTCGCTCTACCGATCACTTGATGAAAACGTCCAGCGATGGAACGAGGTTTGAACATTCAGAGAATTGAAATAATGACTCATGTTGGTCAATTAACTTGTGAAATCAAAGGTGATTAAGCAACAGGAACTAAATTAAAGGCAACTTGAAATCATAGACTAACTTGATCGTTACTCAGCTGTACAACATACAATAATTTATCGACACCTTCGGAGCTGTTATAAATGCATTTAAAGAATTTGTACACAAATTTCACATGTAAAATGCGTTAAATGCGGCATTATATTGACTATGTTCCACATTCTGATTGCTATAATTGAGTTCAATATTTCAGACGACACACGCGTCGCTGGCCGCGTCTGCTGGGCCTGTCTCTTATACACATCTAGATGTGTATAAGAGACAGGAATGGAGATGAATGATTTTACGTTATTCTCCGGAACTGAATACTTATAAATGTGTACACTATTACGACAAATTCAAATGGCTTATTTTACAAGTATTCTTATTGAATGCAAGGTTTCTTCTTGCAGCATGGCGCGACACTGGGCNAAAATTTGGTTATGTATACGCGTTATTTTCTGGCTGAACATTTCGTCGGCGGATAAGACATGTCTATCTACACTTCCAGTTTTACTTAAGACTTTAAACTAGCATCAACTTCTGCACGGGCCTATTTTCACAGAGATAATTTGAGCTCAACGATGGCTGACTCGTTAGAGGCAAAACAAACGATCCTATTGCGTTATCTTTTGTCTGAAAACTCTCGATTTGAATTGAAAATTTTATTTGATAAATATTTTTCTTAACCTAGTTTTACATTTTTAGCGCATTTTCTCATTTATGGAAAAAAGGGCTATAGAGCTTGTCATGTCCGTCCGTCCGTCTGTCCGTGACCTCACGGACGGACGAGAAAATGCGCTCTTTGTCAGTCACTGCAATGAGTACTGATCTAATTATCGTTCCAGGGTTTGTTCTTCATGTGCCCTCTCGCGTTCATGCTACCGAGTATTTTGTTCATCAAGTCGCAAGAGAACAAGACGTTCTCACGGCAGAACGTCTCCGCCCTCCTGGTGCTGACATTCAGCATAATTGCTACCATAGCAGGCATCACTACCTTGATCTCAGACTACGTCACACTCAGTACTTGCTCAGACGGTTTTCAGATGGACTACTGCTTCACTGAAGTCAATGGTACTAAAGTACCAATCAAATTCACATTCCTGGGCGTCGACTATTGACCAGTAGGTAGGTTCAGTGGCGAACGCAGTTGTCATGTCGGGGCTGAACCGTTTGCCCTTCTAGCTGGCAGCTGCAAGTTGCTGAAGCAATTAAATTTCGGTTATTGAACCTAGGAAGCTGCTCAATTGTTATTTGTTCATGGTCCATTACCTGGGCTTTGCTTATTTACAATTATGGATTTGAAACAAAAGAAACATAAGCCTTATTGGGTTTCGTACTATTACAATGGCAGGCGGTGGCTTGTGAAATGTTCAACAAGATCCAGCCGTTGAGGAACGCTGGATAACTGATAATTTAGACTTCGATTAAGAGAAGAAAATGTATCGCAACCTATTTATCAAAGTTCATCATTTATCCCTTGCCCGTTCTATCCCACCTGCAAAACAGAGAAATTGTTTAAATGACAAAAACAAAATAAAAGCGTTTCCCCATGGTTGAATCGTTTCCCCACCATATCAGCAGCCTGAGATTTGTACGTTGCACATCTGCTGAAATGTTCCAGCATTTTTTTACGAGCGAGAACTTCTGCTTGAAGATTTTTGATCTTCGAACATGGTAAACGGTGAACTTTAACTACGAGAATGTTCTTGTTTTTGAGATCCGCCTTTATTACAAATGTCGAGTGTTAATAAAATCTTATTGCTTAATGTTAGAATGCCGTAGAACTAAAGGCCAATTCCGTGTTATGGAAAACGGAACATTCCTTGAGTTGTTTGCATTCCGGTGACATTAAAATGAGATTTTTCTGATTTTAAGATTTCTATAGTTATGACAAGTAATTAATTTTGATTGCACATAATTAGGATTCAAATTGGTCATGTTTCAGCCTCTCATGATACTAATAATCACTGAATAAATAACTCGGCGAAAACATAGAATACGAAATAGAATATATATATAAATTACTTGTTGCCATTACCCTATATTTTTGTATATGTTAAAAATATCAAAATAAAATAAATATAATATAATAATATAATAAAATAAATATCTCATGATCTGTTACTTTCATTTCCAAGCTATCGTAGCAAATGATCCGCTGATGTTTAGTGAAAACATTGCATTCAATTCAAAGTTAAGATTAAAAGTATAGAAATACAGGGTGTTTCAGAATTAAGTAACCCTTTTAATTTGGTAATAAATAAAAAACTAAGAACGTTATGAAGTTGAAACTTGTTTTATTTAAAAGAAGAACATTTTTATGGTAATATTGTATCATAGTT